GAAAAATGGCCAGTTCTTGGCACAGATTTTGAAATCGATATCATTACATTGTACAGTTGCACCAAGTAGTTTAAAAAACATATCACCGTAAAATAGCCTTTCCGGGTTTTACATTGACAGCTGTCATATGCAGAACATGGAAACCACTTTCTCAAAGTACATATATATACATTGACAGTATAGCTGTTGTCGATGGGGATAAAATCAAGTTATATAAGCAATTTTAAGCCACCGTGTAGCTAATAATAGGTACTCATACAATAATACGAAAACGAAAGACTTTTATATGAAGAAAATATGTAATTTCCACTGATTTTCAGTACCTAATAGCTTTTCCATTGTTGACAATTGAAATTGAAATAAAATGTCATTATAGTAAAATGTTAGCACAGTGTGGGAACGAAGCAGTTACACTTTATTGATTGAAGTATGAAAAAGTTTGAACGAAGGAAAATCATCTACCACAGTATGTAATACAGGAGGATCCATCTGATATAAGTGCACTCATTTTCTCTAAAAATATGAATATTTTTCCCCCCTAAACTCTTAAGTAAATATTTTACTATATTTTTCAATATGTAAAAAAGTTTTGCCTTTAAAGAAGTATGGACTTCGTTTTTTCAAATGAGAACATATGTTTTTAGTTCCAAAAATATGTAGGTTTGAATTTTGAATTTTCATCAATCTGTTCGCTTGTTATGACATTATAAAGATTTGAATTTAAGATCAATATATGTTTGGTTTCTACAACAGTTTTCCATTAAATACAAATATTGACCCCCGTCGGTAACACTTATCACCGTCACTGTGACAAGTCTCACTTGAATATGTAGATAAGATCCACTTGTCTATCATTATTACAAAACGTTTCATTATGTCTGGTTTTTGTTGTTTTCGCATTTAAAACAACGCGAACGTAAATATGAATTTTAAGGACTTCTTGAATTTAGCGATCCGAAAACTGTAATATCTTTGCAAAGCCTATAGCAAATTAACAGATTGATGAAAATGATAAAATTCAAACGCTAAAATTGTTTGTCTACATATTAATGGAATTAAAAACATGTGTCTTAATTGAAAAGAAAAACATATCCATACTTGTTTTACGTATTAGGGATGAAGATAACGTACTAACATAACCTAACATACAAATATAGGAAGAACATTATTATCAAAATATTCTTCTGAGACAATTATTTCATTACATCAGATGGATACATCCTGTTTATGTGTTATGTTAAGCTGTATAAGTTCTGTCAAAATAAGATCAGTAACACAAATTTAATATAATATATAACTTAAAGTGCAACAAATAAAAAGGCTTTTACAAAGAAAAAAACTCTAATTTGTTTATTTCTTGCTACTTGCGTGAGACACAAAAGTATTTTTTTCATGGGATTTTGTACTTTTTAGGATATATACCTACACAGACTGCCTTTCTATATAATATTAATATAATGTTATTCGCAAGGTTTATTCTAGTGACGGTCGCCCACTTACAGAATACAAATAATAAACAACAGCGATCCTGTCCACCCTTATTCTGTACTTATCGTCAATGACGGCTATTAAGTAGTGGTTAAGCTCCCCTAATAGTGTTCAGAGTCAATAGTTTGCAATTTAACACCACCTAGACCCTTCCCTTGGGTCTTGGCTGCAGTCTGCCAGGGCAGTACCCGACAGTCTGTTATTAAATGTAAACCGAGCCGCACGCTTACCCCTGTTAGGCAGTCTGTCTACTCGGGTGCTTTATAATTTGGTCGACAACGAGTCAACTTTGAGCCATCAGATAGTCAGCGGTCCTTTGAACGGCAAGTAAATCTCACATAATTATATATTTTATATGTGCTAGTGTTTTATATTTTTTTTCTGAATCAATTACGGTAATAAGACAATTAAGTATAATAATATTTAATAAGTATACTATAATGAAGGATGTTTAACTGAGTACTAACTATAGCATACATTTTAAAAAAGCCCCATCCATTTTATAAGAAAATGTTGTAGTTTGAAACATTATACTGAATGTCTCTGTGTTTGTTTGAATTATAATACTAATAAATGGAAGTTTTTAAAATTACTTACGAAAAATATCCGCAAGTTGCATAAGTAATTGTTATTCGAAAATCGTTGTAAATTGAATACATGAAATTATGTTTTATTTGAAAAACGTATATATTTTATATTACTGATAAATTGTGATAAAATTAGTGCACTCCAGTCTTAAAATGTAATAAAACACAATATAACATGTTTTACAATATTGTTGACATAATATGCTTAAGCCATTACAATGGGGTTGGGCATAGTGGCTATGGAGCATTTTCCGGTCACAGGTCAACAAAAACTATTTTTACTGAATATAATGAAATCACTTTTAAACATACACCTCGATGCGAATCTGTAAAGAATAAAGTGTGCTTAAAACTAACTTTGAGTTTTAGGAAGCTACGTAGAGTGAACGTCTGTCTATAATAATTTGTTTCGTTTTATTTTAATCGTTTTATTTTTATATTAATGGTATATTTTGTAAAAATGTTTGCATAGTAATTTTTATCCCAACAAGAGATGACAAAGTAACCACGTTTGACGGCTGTTGTCATAATTTTCATTTGTAAGACGCGTGTGCACCAATATCAATGTACTAAAGTAGTCCATAGCTTAAATTAATTCGTGCAATTTTATTATGGAAGTAATAATTCGAGAAATGCATAGTGAAAAATGAACAACATTTTTAACTTGTGTTCTGACAAATATTTGATAAAAAATGACTTTTGTCTTAACAGTTTATAGAAATTATCGCTAAGGATCGCTTAAGAATGGTTTCTCCCTGACGCAAGTCTCGTTTAATTAAGGGTGAAACGGCCATAGAAAAGTTCCTTACAAACTAATCATCCACTATCACCTGGTAATTACATAGCATGAGTCTATATTACTATTTATAATCACATATACTTAAACTAACTTATCTAACCAGCCCTTTTTATGCTCCGTCTTGCCTGTCTCTGCACCTCGCGCTCTTGACGCTCGTTGGTCGCCATTACCCAATTAACGAACCACTCTATTGCCCTCCATTTCTCCCTGAATGCCAACATCTAAAAATAATGTTTTCTGAACAAATTAGAACAGTATTTTCCATACTTACCATTTCTGGGCGAAAAGTTTTTTGATATTTTTTTTATTATTCAAAGTATGTCGATAGTACTTTATCTGATGGATATTCCTTACAAGATTGGAATCAATTCGAATATTTTTTATAAAAGTTATTGTATCAAAAAACTAAAAAAGTTTATGATACAAAAAAAAAAAATAATAATATCACATCGTTGTAAAAACATTATCATCTCAGCTACACAACGTAGCAAAATATATGTATGTATACATATACTCGGCTTTAAAACCCATTGAAAGGAAATGAAAATATAATGTTTGGAAATGACGTTGTTAAACATAGTTTATGTTAACAAGGTCGGTTAGGAAGCCGACCAGACGACAGCATTTTCAATAACGTTTGATTGGTACTCTGTAGTTGTTGTAGCGTAAAGAATGGCACTATATGAATACAACTAAAATGTAAATCGAATATTATAATTGGGTAGTTGGTAAAGCGCGACTGCAATGGTCCTTATTGACAGCATATTTTTTAACAAGACGATTGCAAGTTTTTACTCGGCTAACAGTTTTTACCCGATTTAAATAAAGGCATATAATTTGCATTAAATTGCATATTTTGATATTTTGTAATGCATATTTTAATATACTTATCCGAACTACTCTAACTGAGCTTTAAACTTTTAGTTATAAATGAATTAAATCATGACTGAGAATTTTTTTTGCTCATTAACTGGTTAAGTTAGGTATAAAATATTACACGCCTGTCGTACGTTCACGCATAATACATAAGCCGACTGAAGCACAGCACAGAATAAATTAGTTTTGTTTCAATAAATATTATTATACCCAGATACGATAAACTGATACACAGACAAGTAAGAAAAAAATCACATTGAAAAGGGTAGGAAAAAAAATAATGCTTTCATCTCTATAAGAAATTATTGTTTATCATTGAACGCTATATAAAAAAGAAAAAGAAAAGTAATAGTTATTTAATGACAAACGTTGATGCTCGTCCACCATTTGTAGTCCTCATAGCCTATAATATACAACACGCAGGCTTGGTTCCAAAAAGTTCAATGTCTAAATGTGTAATTTTTTAAGAGGGCTAAATAATTATTAAGTACAATCAAATATTTTTCAGCTTATAATGATTCAATTTGGACCTAAAAATTGTGAAATTGTAAATTATATCAGAAGTTTATCTCAACAATTAATTACTCAACAATTCGCTTTTCGTTTATGCAGTATAATATTATATGGTTCATGAGTATATTAGGAGAGTAAGCGAGTATCATAAATTGATTTTATGTTGATGCTTAATGCCATCAGACATACTTTATAGATTAGGACTAAATTTCGAATTTCGATAAACTTACAATAATTCGAATGTAGAATTTCAAATGTTTTAACTTTAAAAAACAAGAAAAATTCTTTCTTCTAGTAGAGAGAACGTTTAAATTGTATTTATTATTTAAAATTAGGCATTAGCCAAAAAATTATACTTTATTACATTAGGGTGGTCCTTAAACTTGACTTGATGTTGGATGACCGTCATTCGGCTCCAAAAAGTGAAAAAATATTTCTCTAATTTGTTCAGATTTTTATTTCGATCCCTCGGTCTCCCTAGTGTGTGTGTTTTATGTGTTTGCATATAAAATGTATACAATCACACAGGGATGAGTAGGGGGGTGTGAGTAACTTTCGGAGGGTGTTGCAACACAGCGGCAGCGGGCAGGATGATGCATTTTAACAATGCTTATTGCACTCTCCCCGCCTGTTACTGAGCGTTATTATTGATTTATTTTACGGCCTACCGTTTTGACTTCACGATGGCCTCGTAGTTTCTCGTACGGTACGACGGTTAGGTTAGGAGACGACGTCATACATGCATTAAACGTTGAAAAATGTTTTCAAAAACTGTTCTAACAATTTACCATAAAATTCATCAAATGACATATGTATTTCTTATTATACCGTACTCATTCGCCATACAACATTACACGATTGTATACAACTGGACATAAAGTTGCAGCGTAATATAAGGTACAGTATAAAACGTACTATATTATAAGGACTCTGGTCAATAGAATAACCGCGCATGTATAAAACGTAACGCCAAAGAACAACGAATAATATGTTATTATAATGTACAACAATAATAAAACTATTGGAATTTATTTCTATCGCAGCTTTTTTTCATTTCAAATTTTACCGTGACGTTAACATATGTACTTGGGCTGTAACACCATTTCTTTTCAGTTTCAGGACATTATTTTTTTTCTCTCCCTCTCTTCTCTTATCCTTATCTCCCTATACTTCCTCTCTTTACCCCTCCCGCGCTCTCTCTCTTCAATCTCTAATTTGCCCTTCCCACCCTCCTCTCTCACCGTCTACACCTTACCACCCTCTTATATACCTCTTCTTCACCCTCCAATGCCCTCCCGTTTCCCCCGTTCCCTTCCCATCTGCCCTCTACTTCTCACCAATTTCGGCCTCCTCGCGAGTTAATATATTAAACCATTAAAAATATATTAAGTTATTCCAGCTGTAAACGTATTGTGTCCCTTAATTATAATCCCAATTTAAGTTCTCTAACTGTGTATTTTTTTCAATGTTTAAGAGCGTCTTCTAAGCCCTAAAATATATTCAATGATTTTTCACGTAGAAAATAAGTAATTTTTTTCCCAAGATTAGTTTATAGATAACTATATATATAAGACATCGTCCGAATTCTGTCATATAAGGTGAACAAATCAACATTAAACTATTTTATCCCAAATAATGACACCTGCTATCATTTTTGATTAAACATTAAATGAATATATTAACCTATTAATATATATAACTTTCGTCTTCTAAATTTGGTTTGAATTATTTTCTATAAAATTTCATATTTTTTCGAGGATACTGTACTTAATTTCTATGTCAAATTTAAAATTTTCTTTTTATAGGATTTAAAGGGAAGGGAGTGTTTAAATGTTGTTAATTTATAATATAATAATTGCATCATGATTTATATATGTTACAAAATTCAAATTTTCAATTAAATATTTTAATCAATAGCTAATTTAATAAAGTTTAAAACACGAATTACGCTACTTAATATGTATTTAAAATACTGTTGTTTCATTTGTTAGTATTTGCTGTGGTTTTATTTAGTTTAACATTACTCCTTAAAGTATAGTTCTAGTATAGTATCCTCCCAATTTGTTAAGTTGGTTTTTACTCAAGAAACTATATTTAAAATTTGTTTCTATAATTTTGATTTAGAAATTGAGTTAAGTATAGGTACTTTATTTAAATATTTTACCTTTACTTATAAATAATTATACTTAAATTCTCTTGAAGATTTTTTTAGCTTTGATGCGAGACTGAGAAGTTGTATATACAATGATGTGTTTATATTATTTTTTTTTTGTGTCTGTACCTATGATATCTTAGCATCTTAAGACACTTACCAAATAAAATTACATTCAAGAAAATGAAAAATAATGTGAACCAAACTAAATTCGTTAGTTCTACCAGTAGGACAAAATATGATCCAATAAATATTTAAATTATAATATATTTTTTTTAATAATTATTATAGAGGTCTTTATGATTATGTTTTTTAAAGTCTCGGTTATAAGTTTGGCAACGTTTGTTTTTCCTCTTGTTATTTTGATGTTGCCGTTAAGGTAAAAATTTGTTATTCACCAAGCTGTTTTCAAGGGGATTGATAATAACGATTTTCTACTTTATTATTTATTACGAACTCCGTACAATGTAATTTATTTCGCTAAGTTATTTCCTGATAGCGTTCTACGGCAATTGTCTTTTAATTTTTTACCCCGTTAAATAAAATTAAAAAAAAAAAACCTTTACCACATAATGACACATTTTGCATAACATAATGCCCTTTTCTACAATTACCTCATGCCGTAAAAGCTTTTACTTTATCACAATTTATTCATGGAATATAAATTTTGATGACAAAATATGTTGTAATCCATCGATAAAGAAATTGTATTTTATGGAAGATTGTTAATTTTTCAATAATATGCAAATTGAATTTTCATTCTTACTCCGTCGAGCATCTTTATGAAGGATAATTAAAATCGAAAGCGTTTAATTTATTTTATAATATACCCATTTTTGTTTTTAAGAGGACGAGTGCCCAAGAGGGTGTACTCTGTCGGTGTACAAGAGGGTTTACTCTGTCAGTGTACTCTGTTTGCCGGGCGAGAAACTGTCTGATAAAAAAGAGCAACCCTTCTCCTATCTTTTATTTCTCTGGCGACGCACTGACGTGACGACCCGTCCCGGATAACGAATTTGTATAGAAAGGAGCCTACCAACCAATTTTATTAAATTGAGTTGAACGATGAAATACTACTTGCTTTCTATTTGACATTGAATTATATATTCTTTATCCGGTATAGTATGATAAATCTTTTATTAAATTGCTAATCTATAATCTTGAAAAAAATGGTGTTGTCAATTCCACGTTGAGTATACTATAAGTTTTTACATTCAGGAGGGTTAAAATGTTATGAGTTTATACGTAATTTGTTTTATTAATAGATAGTGTGTGCAAAATATTTCGCGTTGAACGTTTAAAAGCTTTTAAAATAATGTAATGTTATGTGTAAATTTAAATTAAAATAGTCTCTCAGCTCTGCATCGAAGCTAAAATGTCATGTTTGTGGTTGACACCGGCTAACACATTTTCATGTTAACGAAAATAGTTAAAATTAATTAACAGCGCAGATTGAATATGACAGATTCTGTCACCCTGTTCATGACAACAGGCCGGCTCTTCTCGTCGTTTGGTATAATATTGCAATTATCTATTATATTTTGAAACTATCCTATTATAAAACTCTTTGAATGTTTATCAAGCCCAATTTTGATTTAATTAAAATTAATAATAATAACAGATGATAATATTATAGGAGCTAAGTTAGAAAATAGTTAAAAAATCGATAGTCATTTTATTTGTATTTACGTCATTAATGTGACTTAGAAAATAATAAATATTATGTTATTATCTAGAAAACAGCTAAGCAACTATGATTATTATAGTTAAGAAAAAAATGTAATATTTCAAAAACCCTAAACTACAAAAAATAATGCATTTTATTGTATACAATAGATTTGGTCTAAACTTTTTAAAATATTTGATTAATTTAATTCTTATCCATAATGTTATAAGAGGTTAGTGAAGTGTGGTGAAACTACCATTCGGTTCAAAAGAATAAATAAAATTTAAAGACAATATGACGACAGTCAGTTCTGGTTCAGACAATGCTTAGTTTAGACTGTTTGGATTGGCTTAGAATATGCTAGTTTACACTGTACTTATTTTTTTTTTATAGCTTTCTATTTTAAGTTATTATTAAAACGTTTAGTTAAAACAGCGATAGATATTTTGTTTACACGCGCAGTTATTAAAAGCCCAAAGATGAAATTTATAAATTATAATGTCAAAGTTCAAATTTATTATATTTTGATAAGTATAACGACATAACTGTAAATAACACGTTATCATTTTTTTTGTTTTTGTAGGAACTTCATTTACAGCCGTCAATTCCTGGGGGTCCTGCTGAAATACAACATTTCTTATTCTTGGATTCAGACAGTTGAGGTTATAGTTAGTATAAACGAAATTACTGATCATTTTAAAATAATAATTGTTTTGCCTTACTTTAAGAAACTTGAATATTGGCAACCGATTCTGGCAAGTTTGCCGACTGGCCACATATCTTCTATTTTTAATTTAATAACCATTTGTGGTAAGAAGAGTAATAAATAATGATGATTAAAATAATTATTAATTTTTGTATTTTTTTAACGAACATAATTTACAGCGACCAATTTTTGTGGCATTTGCTGAGTGGCTACAAACCATCTTTTTTAATTTGAATAGTCGTGTTTGGTGAGTATATACATAATAACTAGTTATTGTAAAATGTTTACTTTTTCTGTCTTCCCTCAGGAACTATTGATGTATAGCAACCAATCTTATAATTGCTTATTACAATTATTGCAATTATCAAATGAAGCATTTCTTGTCAATTTGCAGTCCGAATAGTAAAAAAAAATATAACCTAAAAAACCATTTTTTTAAAAATTGATAGATTTTTAAAAAAGAATGTGTATAATATCTAAAAGTTAGTATTTAAACCTTAAACCAGTACCTAAGTGTACGTCAGGAAACTTTGTCTAAATTTAAGACCTTATTTTAAATACGTGTTTTATTAATGTTTTAGTCAGAATGTACCAACGGGTTGAAATACTTATTAGGAGTATCCTTTTACAAGACAGTATATTATAACTGTTACGCTCTAAAACTACCCCTAGAAAAACTTTTTCTGCTAAAATAAATATTTTATAGAAAAAGTTACTAGTTTAGAATATACATTTTTTAAATTAAAAGCTTTCTATGCAGACAAATGTTTTATTCACGATGTGAAGTTTGATTCAAAGTATGTATATTCAAATATAAATTAAGCAATGAATATCAATTATAATATTAGAATATATTCAACGCGCATAATATAACTGTGTCTATGACAGTTGTCTGTTTGAAATGTAATATAAAATGATTTACCATATTTAAGTAATCTAAATTTTAGTTCTTGTCACTAATATTCTGTCTTATTTTAGATTATACCGCACTACCAACACTAAAAATTCGTTCCACTGGTGTACACGGCAATGACAACGACAGACAGAAGGTCTATTTACAAAATGTAATTGCAATTCACTTTTTTTTTTTACATTGGACTACTACCAAAACATTAATTATGGTACTTAGTGTTTTGTAACTATTTTTTTTTGTTTTTTATTTAAAAAAATATCACACCTTTTTGTAAACAATTAACGAATAACATAAAAATAAGTTACAGTGGTTACAGACAAAATCATCATTATAAAGTATGGTTTAATGTTATAAATTATATTTATTAAATAATTAACTAAGAAAATTATTAAAGGTTAAACATTATAATTCGAAATAGAATGGATAATTAACGTTTCTGGGCTCATAGAAGCTATTTAAGTACACACTCTTATGTAAATTGAGTTTACATGGGCTTGATTCCCTGGGAAACTCTATGAGGTACTGAACAGTTTAGTTTGGAAAATATAGATATTATGTGACGATGAGGAAGTGAGGACTAAGCTAAGTGTGATTATTTAAGTTCAAAGTGATATAAGAGTAGATGTACAATTAGTAAAGAAAACTGAAATATTGCACATGGGTTTGTTACACAAGTCAAAAAGTAAATACAAATTCAAGAAATATGTTATTTATCTGAAGATGACTTACTCTATTATTAACATAGTTTATCATAATAGAGTAGCTTATTTCCAAAAACTTAATTTTGATATTATTTTAAAGTTTTTGAATAACATATTGTTTTAATTTTGTCTTTAAATATACTTCCAAAACTCATTATTTCCCTAATAAAGTTTAACTTTATATGTAACTTTATTTCCAAAACGTATTATTTATTTATTTTAATGTATATGGGCGCCTTTTTTAAATAATTATATGTTAAACTCTTTAATATAGAATTACAAATAAGAAATGAGAAATTTAACCATTATATAAATACTCACAATATAATGTTAAAAATCATTTTGATATAAAACTTGGTTTCTGAAATCTTAAAAACATATAAATTGACCCTGCGGTGTAGTAAATTTTTAAGAAAATAAATTTTGGCCAGCTTTTTTTTATTTAGAAACACTGTGCAAAGTCGCCTATTATTATTTTTAATCGAAGAAGTGAATAAGTTACAAAAATCATATCAACAGCATAAATTCTTTAAAATAAAATTGTCTATATTCTAGATATAACTACTGAAGTTGTAGCAGAACCAAATCTAATTCAAATCGATGTGCCCCAAATTATTATACCTCAAACTTCCCAGACTTTAAATCAGATAAATTAGCACAATTTTAAAGTAGACTCTTCTTTTAACCTTGACGTCAAAAATACTGAAACAGTGACCGTTTCAAATCAAACTAATACATCTCAAACGAAACAAGTGGATATAATTTTTTGCAACTTGTAAATAATTGTGTTGAATGTATTTCATTATCAAATTTGTAATAAAAAATTAGTAAAGATTCAATTTCTAGCATAGATTGAGTGGAAACAATGAGAATATTCAAAAAGATGACAGTGATTTTTCAATTATTAGCATTATTTTTTCAATAACCATTTCGCTGTGGCCTACACGTTTCACGTTTCAGTGTGACCTAACCGGTCAATCCAAACAAAATTCTATTATACTTCTTAAATTAAACACAGAAAATGGTAGTTGGTATTTTTGAACACATTTTCCTAGCGTCCTAGCGATTACTCGTATTTATCGATTTTAGTTGAGAATGAAAGGAGAAAATACGATACTACAAAAAAGACTTTTATATAATAAAATATATAATATAAGATTCTTATAATATAAGGTCTTTCAGTGTCTGAGTGTTTTGAAATTAAAACTGTTTGAAAAATAGTCAAACTAGTTCCAAATTTGTATGGAATATTTATATAACAAACGATGACAACTGACAGACCAAAACAATTTGACAATTTTGACGAGCTAACTTTAATTTTGAATAGTTAGGTACCTACTTTTTAATGTTGACAAAAGGGTATCAATTAAAATAATTTCTTTTTGTAGGTATTTAATTAAATTTAATACTAAAAACCTTATATACATTTCTTTTGATAAGAAAAATATTTAGAAATGCAATTTGATTATAATATTAATATTTCTAATATGAGTACATGATATTATGTAATTTCTTTTAACTTAAATACATATATCCATGTTTAAAGTTGGCATGAAACTAACGGTTGGCCCAAAGATGATGTTTGAATTTTCCTTATCACTTTGAAATGTCCATTAAAAACCATATTATGGTTTTTTTAATCTTTAGACAATTTTTCATTCCCTTTGGAACGAAATGAACTTAAGACTTCATAATAGTTTTTGCTCTGAAATCAACATAAACTGAGTAAAACACATTCCATGTAGCTTTGATTAGGTTAAAATAATAGTGAAAACATTGTCAAAAACAATTTATGAATTAAGAATCATGGTCGATTGTACTAAAAATGTATAAATATATACTAGTTATAGTTTTCAATTTTCATTAACAACTGTCCATACTGAACTTCTTAATACTTAGGAGGTGTAACGGTCCACAGTGTAATAAAACGGATATAGATCAATAATCATAGATCAATAGCACAAAATGTATCATTGTGACATTTACCTAAGGCCTAATGTTACCTAATGATCTCAAATGATCATTGATCGTTATGAGACGTTATCACGTGAACATAATGTTAAAGGTGCTTAGCAAATACTCAACTGTATTATAATAAATTAACCAGATTACCAAATGAATGCCACAAAACATTTATAATATGATTAAAAAAAAACGACTAAAATGTATAATAGATAATTCAAAAAAAAAATTATGCCTTTTGGAACGATAATTTTCATCAACGTTTGTTGACTGGTCTTAGTAGATAATACAAATTAAACTAAATATCAAAAGTATAATAAAATCGAGTAAACAGTACAAACGACGAAGAAAAATAAATCAATTTAATTATTTACCTACTTCTAACATATCGGCTAATGTCTTTGTTGTTGGCCATTGTGGTGTTAATAGCCATCATTAATCTGGCGACGGTATACGGTATTGTAATTACGTATTAAATATTTTTATTATTATTCAGTACACATTGCGCAGTACAATATTACTATCGAACGAATCGAGTTCGAGTCAAGTAAATCGTGTAATATCATTTATTTTTAAGAGATTTAGTGGAAAGATTTAGTTAGGTCGACGGTGAACATGACTAGAACCACGGCCATCGGCATCTATTTGGGAACGACCTTCTCCTGCGTGGGCGTTTGGCGAAACGGCAAGGTGGAGATCATCGCCAACGAGTACGGTAGCAGAACAACGCCTAGTTATGTTTCTTTTACAGATTCGGAACGATTGGTCGGCGAAGAGGCGAAAAATTAGGCTGTCATAAATGTCAAAAACACCGTGTTCGACGCCAAGAGGATGATAGGCCGGCGTTTTAACGACAAAAATATACAAGAAGACATGAACCACTGGCCGTTCAAAGTGGTCGACGATTAGGGAAAACCGAAAATCCACGTGGAGTTCATGGGCAAGCGCAAGGAATTGTCGCCCGAGGAAATCAGCTCGATGATTTTGGCGAAATTGAAGAAGACCGCCGAAATATACTTGAGCGAGCAAGTCACGGACGCGGTGATCACGGTGCCGGCTTATTTCAACGACTCGCAAAGGCAAGCCACCATAGACGCAGGTAAGATTTCCGGACTTAACGTTCTCAGGATAATAGTCGAGCCCAAGGCCGCCGCCTTGGCTTATGGCATGGACAATCGGCTGGAGGACCAGATCGTATTGGTGTTCGACTTCGGCGGCGGTACGTTGGACGTGTTGATCTTGCGTGTAGACAAATATGATGTCTACAGAGTGATAGCTATTGCTGGCGACAGTCATTTGGGAGGCGAAGATTTCGACAACCGATTAGTCGAGCATTTGGCCGGCGAGTTCAAACGGAAATACAAAAAAGACATCACGAGTTGCCCGAGAGCTTTGAGGCGTCTTAGAACGGTGGCCGAGAGAACCAAACGATCACTGTGCACCCAAACTCACGGGTTGGTCGATATTGATTCGTTAATAGACGGCATAGATTTCCAGATGACGGTGTCACGCGATTGTTTCGACAAACTCTGTGACGACTTATTCAAACTGACTCTCGAGCATGTAGAAAAAGCGTTGGCTGACGCCGAAATGAACAAGACCGAAATTGATCAAATAGTGTTGGCCGGTGGCAGTACGAGAATAAAGAAAATTCAGACGCTACTGCAAACGTTTTTCGAAGGTAGAGACCTCAAGATATCCATCAACCCCGACGAGGCGGTGGCTTTTGGGGCTGCCATTCAAGCTGCCGCGCTAAGCGAATGTCCGTGTGAACTCGTTCGAAATCTAACACTTGTCGATGTCACACCGCTGTCGTTGGGCATAGAAGTCAGTAAAGAAATGATCATGTCCACGATCATACAGAGAAACACTTCAATTCCTTGTAGGAAGACGGGCGTGTACACGACACTGAGAGACAATCAAAAAACGATTTCCATAAAAGTGTTCGAAGGAGAAAGAGCACTGACCAAAGATAATAATCTACTGGGCAGTTTTTTCTTAACCGGATTAGAGCCGGCCCCCAGGGGTGTACCTAAATTCGACGTGACATTCGTTATTGATTGCAACGGTATTCTAAACGTATCGGCTACAAATCAAAAAGACGGCTTGACCAACAGTGTAGTTATAAAAAACGAAAAAGGTAGATTGTCTAAAGAAGAAATTGATCGTATGCTCAGCGAGGCAGAGCGGTACAAAGAAGAGGACAAAAGGTATATAGTCAGGATTTCTGCTAGGACCCAATTGGAAGATTATATTTTCGATGTGCAACAAGCGTTGGATTTGTTCGGAGCACAAGGATATCGGCATGAAAAACATTTTTGCGACCGTATGAGAAAGTGGTTGGATGAGAATCAGTTGGCTGAGAAGGAGATGTATGAGCATTAACTTTGTATGCTCCAAGCAAATTGTTCAACGTTAGTTCAGAAAATGCATGACAAAAGTGCTAAAGACGCTAGGAAGGTGCGGTATCTCATACTTAAGCCGCGCTGATAATTTTTTATTTTATACCTTAAATGTTAAACAAAAATGATATTTTCAAGTATTTTTCTATTACTTTAATCCTATAATTTTTTTTTTTTATTTATATAAATCATTGTTATACAATATAATATAAATTACAATATAACAATTTTGATTAATTTACCCCATTAAGCAAGCTTGTGGCGGGGTAAATGAGTTACAACACAATTTTTACTTAAAATTTAATAAAACAAGTTAGATATAAACAGAAAATTAGTAAAATTAAAATAGTTTAGATAATTTTGACTTAGAGAACTATAAATGCATAAGGTCCATAAGCTAATTTATTTAACAGTATAGTACATAATAACCCTATTATGATGTTTACATAGCAACATTTTTTGTTTTATCCTCATTTGAACGTTGAGTTCAGACTATACTACTAAAGTTAATAATACAGTTAAATGCTTAGACATTTAAATAATTTATAGGTATTTGAACATTTTTATGATCTATTTATAATTACTAAAAAATAAAACTAAGATTACTATGTTAATTATTTTTTTGTAGACATTTTTAACGTACCGTTTTTATTGCGCAAATCAATGTTAGCGAAATTGTATTTTAATAATTAGATTAGGTAATAGTTTGAAAGAGCTAAAAAAAACGCTGACAAGGACGATCGAATAATACAACAAATTGTTGTGGGGGAAAAAAGTGTTCAAGTCACGAGTGTTGGTCACACTGTATGCGTAGGCTGTCCCGCGTCCCACTCGTGTAATCATCGCCAATGTACATTATTAATGGCGGCTTGTATACGGGGCTTGTATCCGGCCGCCGAACTCTGACGTCGTTAACGTTGTCGGCCGTCGGAAAACGACGGCACTTTACGGCACATTTCTGAAGTTACTAACGCGTTTAGGCGGCACATTTTAAAATTGTTTTTTTTTACCGACAAAACACAACAATATTATTTGATTTATTTCACGCTATCATAATAATAACAACATAGCCGGTCGAGGATTATTCGGTTGTGTTTGATTTGTTTATTTTATTTCCTACCCAAACCAGCTTTTGCCCGCCCAACAACCCTTTTGCGGCAATAACGAACGTCCAGCAGACAGTCGATCAGGTGAGTTCGCTGATAATAATAATATTGTGTGTGTGTGTGTAATAGAAGTCAACGATATAGGGTTAATTAACAAGTACAGGGCTTCAAATTCCGGTCAGTACTTAATTTTTTGTCTTTCCCTCCCTCCACCATAGCAATAAATGGAGAGCGTGGCGTGCCCTCTGTGCTGTGAAGATCGATTCTCCAACCAAGACCTTTTGAAGTATCACCTGCTGAGTTTGACGACAAACATCCAATGCCCGTTTTGCGGTAAACAATGCGACACCATCAACTCTTTGGTCGTGCACTTGGACAAGATGTGTTTGGACAAACCGGACGAAGTAGATAAAAGTGTACTGGACAACGAGATGATCGTCGTGTACCCCGACGGTAAGCCAAATGCGCCAGACAATCGTTGTTATTATTTTCTATTGTACCTAGGTACCTACTGTAACCCATGTGTGTGTGTGTTTACTAGACGAGGAACCCGATAGCGAGTATGACAACTTGGTGAAAGAAGAAGTTTATCAAAACGACGAACACCCGCTCGACGTTGAGCACAGAGAAGTCAAAAAGTTTATCGAAGAATTTACCGTGGACGAAGCGGCTAAAACGGCAGTTCATACGTCAGAAAACGAACCCACGGAAGAACCTCACCTTTATCATTGCTCCGAGTGCAATATAAATTTCCCGTCGATTCAGGATCACATTGATAGCTGTCACAAAGGACAAGAAGTAGTCTTCCAGGCATGTAAAATACAACTCATTAAACAATAATAATTAAAAGCAAACAAGCCTATCGAAACTGTGTTCAATCAGTCCATTGGTTTTTGAGGTAAACCACCAGAACTACTACAAAAAAATTTCATTCGAAAGACTTCTGGGAAAATGCTTAAAACTGTTTATATTTTTTAAACTATCACAAAAAGCTTATTAAGAAAAAATACTTTTAGATATCTGTTTAAAAAATTAAAAAATTATCTTTAATAATTTTTTTTTTTAAAACTTGGTCTTAAAATAGAATAATATAGTAAAAACTACAGATAATTTAGTGATTGGTATAGGATCATTTTTTTCACTAAAAATTTTTATTTTTACTATTTATTTTATGTTTTGGTCTTTTAGCAAATTTAAACTTGGTCTAGAATTTTGTAGTTCTACTTCTTATTTATAAGTTTAATGCTAATGTTAAAATTAGTATAAAAAAAAAACCATTCTTATAGATGTTGTTCACTTCCGTTAACTTTTATTATTATATTCCTAACATATTAATATGTGTGTGTGTTATTTAGGTAACAGAAAATGAAGATGTTGCCAACCTAAAAGACATGACAAATTTAATAGATAGTCAGTGTCCACAGTCAGGATCTTGGACGAAATGGGGCAACGGTTATTTCTATTCTTGCCACAAAGAAATAGTTGAAGGACATTTACATGAACAATCGGCGTACATAACAGGCTTGGCGGAAGATACCGTAAAATCAAGTCCTGAAGACATGCTTCAAAAAGCAAAAGACAAACAACAATGCAACGGTGAGATAAGAAAAGATCTTCAGCTGTCTGAGATGTTTGCAAACCATTGTATTATTGATGCGTACGGTGATAGATATTATGATACGCCTATTTATTTGCTACACCGAGCAACTAACGAAGTCAATGATTATTTTCAAGTAGAAGCGCGAAAGTTGAGTTTTAAAAAGCGCATGCGTCTTATACGGCTCAAGTCAGACACTGACCGTTTTGAAATTGAACAAATTTTGTTCCAAAACAAACCAACAAATGGCAATATTATTCCTACGTTGGAAAAAGCTACCGTAGCCAACGACAGTGTTCAGATGGAAAACGTAGAAGGTTGTCTCCTGTTGTGCTGGAAGTGCTTAAAATGTAATATTAGGTCTGAACATTGGTCCAAGTTGAACAAACACAATTGTAAGGACGACGAGCCAATAGTGGCCAAATCGAAGAAAAGTGTCGAGTCTAAAAGTGCGACTGTAAAAAATAACAATCGAACGGCCGGGGCTAATCGTTCACAACACATTTGCCCGCATTGCAACGGAGAATTTGATTCCGAAGGTTATTTACGAACTCATCTTATGGTGCACGTGAACGATTCAAACAAGTGTCCGTTTTGCGACCAACCCGTGGCACCGGAAATGATGGACACTCATTTGATAGCGCATCAAAATCCTGAATTTTCAAATTTAAAATTTCTATGCAAGTGAGTATGATGATTTAATATATATATACATTTATATATTTTTAGTTAAATAAGTATCGGTTGTTATTATTATTGTCTTATATTAAATAGTGAGTATTTTTCAGTGTATGCAATAAGTGTTACGACTCAGAGTTTCGTTTGCGGTGTCATCAACGAGCGCACGAGATGCGCCGTAAACCGCGAGAGATATTGGTGTGCGATGTTTGCAACGCTCAGTTCAACGACAAAAACTCGTTAAAACATCATGCGATCACGCACATAGAACCTCCAGAACGTTTGCGTCGATTACACGAATGTCGTTTTTGTCGGAAAACTTTTGTCAAACCAATCGAAAAGGTAATTTGTTTTAAATTTAAGTTCTGTTGAAGTTGTTAAAATTGTTGAAGTTAAATTGTACTATTCCCAATGTTATATTGATTTTTATTATTAATATCCCTCGACTTTATAATACATCAGCAACTCGTTACTATTTAATTTTTAAATTTTACAATCTGTAGATTTTATTTTAAGTTTTACTGTTTCAGGTAAATCACGAAAGAGTGCACACTGGGGAGAAACCATTTGCGTGTCCCGTGTGCGGACGTTGTTTTAGGCTCAAAGACCTTGTACAAAAACACTTGCGTGTGCACACCAAAGAACGGCCGTACAAGTGTCGTCACGAAGGGTGCGAGAAAACATTTAGCGCTTCCAGTAGTCGGGTGAACCACGAACAAGGCCATTCGGGTATCAAACAGTTCAAATGTTTTTATTGCCCGAGATATTTCAAAAATTGGGTAAGCTGCCGGTTTTATTTCCCCTGCCCCGTACCTAATCCGGCGTTCAACTAAGATTTGTATCGTCTAGGTTTCGAGGAGCAATCACGTCCAGGAGCATATGGTGCAACATTCGTGTGACGTTTGTGACAGATCGTTTGTATCGTTTTGTAATTATAAAAAACACTTGAAAATGCACGAGGAGGGACGGCTAAAATTCAAATGTGTGCTGTGTCGTCAAGCGTTCGGCAGGCAGTTATTCTTAGACAACCATCTAGCCAGTGAACATCAAATCAATTCCAACAAAGATGAAGTCTCGTCGAATGTATAAGGTTTTAAAATACCATAACTTATCCGTGTTGTTATTGTTGTTTTTTTTTTTTTTACTACTATAGACTTTGTGAATAAAAAAATGAATTGAACTACCACAAAGTACATTTTTTTTAGAGGGGGTTTTAAAAAATAAAATAAAACCAGTTAATTTTTTTAAAAACATTAAAAATATAGTTTATTAAATACAATTAACTAATATTAGTTTATTACATGTATATATATAAAAAAAAATTAACTATATAAAGTTTTTAACATTATTATACAACAGTTAATTTACGTGTTCGCCAATACACATTAGATGAGTTATGACAATAGTAGTTGTATGTTAATGACAATTATTAATATAACACTAGTTCTTAAAATTTAATCTAAATATCACATAAATGGACCGACGGTTTGTCAAATATTGTTAATTATAAAATTTGAACGTTATAACTAATTTTAAGTACACAACAAACAAAGATTGCACGCCGCGCTATTTACACAAACGTTAAAAAAACGTAAACCTATTAGTTTCAAATCACGATAACACGAGTTGGTCCCTCAAATCACAACAATAAGTAGTAGTTGTTAATATTTACAAAAAGAAAAAAAAATAACCTTAACTAAAAAAACATAGTAACATTTAGTTGAAATTACTGGACGCGATTTGATTCATCCGAACTGTCATCGTAGCTTACGTCTGAATTGTCGTGATATGGCCTGGTCAAAGAATCTGGAAAATAACATTAAAACATTAATTATTATTCAACATTTAATGAGTACTTAGTTGTATAATTTACTTAAAGGTAATATCATCAAATTTGTTTAATTATACATCACTATATATATATATTTATTTATAATTTGCAATTTGAAATTGTGCAAAGAAAGCTTAAATATCAAACAAAATAATTAGTTTGTATTTGTGTTATAATTAAAAATTTATTTTTTTAGTTATTAACTTGCCTTTAGTAATTGGATTGCGAAAGAGTTCCACTTCATCGTCGTCGTCGAAAAGATACGGTTTTTGTGGCAACAAAGCAAAGCCATTTCTATAGGCAAACGAAGACGGCCTTCCAGACTGCCAACGGAGATAACAATGATACCAACTGACGCCAAGAATCGAACATATAAAAACTAAAAACCAAAATTATACGGTTCTATTAATTGCTTTTAAAAATAAGTCGTAACGTTAACTCTCCAATGAATGATCGTATCGATAGTTAAGTCTGATTTTAGCAACAAAATTATTATTTATCAAATAACTTAATATTCAATTATTCAATTTAATTTAACTAATTATATGATGTTACAAATAAAAAATTGTAGTTTATTTTAGTCATTATTTTGTTTTATAAATCAAAATTGCACAGATCTGTTCACAACTTATTTTATGTAAATTTTTATTCGACTAACTTTCAAATAGTTTATAATTTTGAAACAAGTTCAAATAGAAATAAAGTTTTATACTAAATAATTTTTTTTTTTTTTTTAAATAATTATGAAAATTTTTTTATTTAAATACAAAAAATGATTCAAATATTTCCCAGGTGTGTTTATGATTACCTGCCAAAAAAAAACAACTACAGTAAAGGGAAGAAAGTTTTATACAAATAATATAATAATAATACCAGTAAGAACTATGAACATAATCCTAGGCATATTCAACACCCTTTCGTCCTTCATCAATTTGAATATTACCGTCTGGACTTGCGAATCTCTAATCGTCACCAACTTTGTCGACGAATAATATCCTTTAGCCTCGATCAATATTGTAGTTTTTCCTAAGAAAAAAAAAACAATAAAATATGTATTTTTGTACGACAACAGATGAAAATATTTTTCGATATAAACTCCAACTAACGTTGTTGCAATCAACAATTAAAATAGAATTAACGTTACCAAGATTACATTTGTAATACTTGTTAAGTTTTTTTTTTTTTTTAATTCATAAGTCTTAACTAAAATTTTTTTGGAAAAAAATACCAACTGTTCGTTTGATACAAAGGAGGAGTACATAATTGAAAATAATATTTTTTAGAAATAAAAAAAATTTGCAGATTATAAAAAGTAATAAATAAATCAGACTAGTTTTTTTTTAATAATTAATATGTTGTCGATATATATTTTGGCTAATACTGTGTGTACTCTGAAAATAAATTTATATGTTATTTTCTCCGAAAGGTTTCTCGCTTCCGATTCGATCCGATCGTTTTTTTGTTTGTTTTAAACACGCTCGGAAACAACAATCTATCACCGATCTACGTTAACTTGTCGAAAGATATGTTCTTAAAAAATTCATACTGAAAGTTAAAAAAAAAAAATAAATAAATTTAGCAAAAAAAATAGTTAGTTTTTCTTTTTGTTCCCTTTTCAAGAATATTATTCAAGTACATCGGATAAACTACAAAGATACAAACGATATCGTCTACGCTAACGATTTTGTTGTCATGAGTACTAGAACAAATGAGGTTAGAAAAAAAATTCTATTTTTACAAATAAATATCAATACCGTCTTTTATGGGTAGCTCGTAAGAGCCGTCTCTGCCTGTTCGTGTAACTGTCGTGGTCGATTCATCGGTCAAGGTAGCGTCTTTAATCGGAGAATTCATTAGATCCAAAACAAAGCCTAAAATTATTTTTAAAAAAATCATCAAATAATTATATGTTCAATATTTCTTCGATGTAAGACCATCTTATGTAACAATACCTTTGATTTTGTTGCCGAATCGTTGAACTTGTGCATAACCTCGACCGTTGAACATGATTATATTGAGATCGGTAATGTTGCCATTGTACACACTAACCCAAACGCTTTTTGTTTCGTAACCTGTCGCTTTGACCTAAAGTACAACACGTAATCGTCCAACGTTAAAAAAACGTTATACACATATATTGATTGCAACTACTGGTATTTCTTACGTGAACTTTATGTCGGCCAATCGGCAAATTTGCTTTATACACTGCAGAATTGGGGGTTACTTGATAAATATCGGCAAACTGATCGAACGTAATAACGGCCGTCCGCACAGGTTTTCCTGACGAGTCCAACACCGAACCACGAACGCCCTGATAACTTTCGGCTATGACCGATTCGAGCATGTGCAAATTTTCCATCCAAACAAACGCCACTGCCGACGGTTCGATGTAATTGCAGCACGTCAAACGCAATGCCATCTAAAATTACAACGTTTCCATGAATCGCAGGAGTTAAATTTGTGTTTGTTTGCAAACAAATTCTCACCGTTTTAATTTTCAGCACATTGTTGAATGTATCCAAAACGTTTTGTTTGATGTCGTTAATTTTTTGATCGAGCGGTTCACCACAACTCTAATAAAAAAAAAGTAAAACAGATACAATGACCATTATCAATATTTAAATTACATAAACACATACATCATAGTAATAGTACTTACACTTTTCAAATGACTGTTGTAGTACAGCAATTCGTATTCTCTAAATAACGATGATATTGTGTTTCTAGGATGCGTCGTCGGACCGCTAAACAAAATGAGATTATTATTGTTATTATTTTTTCCAAAAATACTACTACAATATAATAGTACGACTTCTTAATGTCAAAGTCTGAATCCCCTATCTGCGAAGCATGTGGAGTTCGGCTAACGGTGAAACACATACTTACGGAGTGCACAAAATATCAGACTCAACGAAGTGATAACGAAATATTGGAGGATCTGTCAGAAACCCTCGGTCCTTAACCCGGGGCCATTAACAGGCTTCTTAGTTTTATGACCCAAATTATGCAGTTGTCTATGAGGGTGTACTGTTTCTGTACAATGTAACCCAAAATGTAATAATTTAATGTAACCCAAATGTAATAATTTAATGTAACTCAATGGCCTTTGCCGCCGAGGGAAATAATAATAATAAAAAAAAATATATAATAGTATAAACAGTTACTTTATCGACATGGCTCCGCCTTCCAAACTGAACATCATGTCAAACTGTTGCCGCTGCAGCATTTTCCAGAGGCTGTCCGTGGTCTTCTGCTCGCTCGGACGGTTGGTAGCGATCAATCTTGGTCCGGTAACAGCATCTCGGTCGTCGGTCAGACATTTCTTTTCGTAGCTCTCTTGCCGCTCGAAATACGGTATGAAGTACAATACTACGTTGGACAACAACGTTACCACGGCCACGTTTCCTTTGCGATAACCCTCGACGTAGTGCCTGGCCAGGTTCAAAAGGATTTCACGAGTGGCCGGCTCGTTGACGTACAGACCACCCAAAATGGCCACCTTGAATTTATGTTCGTCGGGCGATCCCACCTGAAATGAAGACAATGAAGCTATATATCATTATTGTAATAAAAAACACACAAGTTAAAAAGTGTTAAAAAAACCTAAATTATTTAGCAGTGACCGTTTAACGCTGAGCAAAACCGAACAATATACATAACACCACACAAAATTCTTAGGTCCGAAACAACGGATAAGCACAACATTGAATAACAGAGATCTCGTTTAAAAGTAATTACAAAAATTACTAGTTATTTTTTTTTAGTTTCGCTCAACACTCAATTCTATCAGGATTTTTGATCTAGTGTCCAAAAACCGACCACTTTCAATCCACTTGAAAAAATTGATTTCCGGTATCTTATAGTGATCTATAGAACACTTACGTCTTTGGTGACTTTAAATTGAACAACAGAGTCCTCGGTGCTCTCCGAATTTGGTTTCACGACTAACTGGGCCACCGACGACACTCTGTTCTCTAAATCGGCGAATTCGCTCAAAAACAATTCCTTGTTCTTGTACGATTCCATTTTTTCCACGTTACTGTCCAAATTGAAGTCGTTGGTTCTGGACCAGACTGCCAGGTTTTCTTTGGCCAGCGTGAAATTCAACCACGCCGGAGTCGTGGTGTTGGCAACGTAAACCGACCGGGTCTGTCTCTTGAAACTATAAACCGAACGACTAGTTATTTATTCATTCAATACGGGTGACTCGAGTCAAAGAAAACCTTAATGTAAGCTACACAAGACCAGTACTGACTTATGCATGTACAATTTAAGGTGCCGAGGAGAAGTTTCGAGAAAATTTTTTTTTTAAAGTCATTATTTTTTTACTTAACTGTCGAAAACTTCAATTTATTGACTTATCGAAAAAATGAAAACGGAGGGCTTATTTGGGGGTCCCACAGCTGATGTCCAATCACCTATTACTTACATTTCACGCTGGAACACACTGTATATGTTTGTGACAAGTATAATATAACAATAAATTTCAAAAATATAAATAGCGCAAAATCTATTCTGTGTTATTACTTATTACTATAGGGAAGGATACCCTATCAATATTTACTACATTAGCAAGAACCATGTCGCGGTCCACACCCGGACAGTTGTCACAAAAGGGGGGAAGAGCAAATGTCCACTCCATCCCCCTACCCCCAATGAAACCAGGGGCGCCCCGAGTATATATTATGAGCCTTATGGTTCAAAATGTCTAAATCGAGTCGCAGCAGACTTACCCGTAAGCGGTCACGGAAATATCGTAGTTGCCCGCCGTCAGCAATCGCCAGTAATCGCCATCGGTGGCCGTCCTGACGTTGTGGTCTATGCCGGCCACCGAGATCTCCGCGTTCGGCACGCCTTCGCCCTTTTCATTGAGCACGAACCCTTTGACTCCCCGGTGCACCTGTTCCGCGAAGGCGATCAGGGGCTCCCGGTTGGCCGTCCAGTAACTCCTCAGGTCCCGGGCAAACGGGAATTTCGTACATCCCAGTTCCAAGGTGAGTTCGAAACAATTCGTGGTCATATAGTTGAAGTCCTGCATGCCGCCGACCACGCTGTACCACGAAGCGCCGTTGACGATGCCGTCCTTGAACGGTTTCGTGTCGTTCTTGCATTTGTCGTTGCCGTGCATTTGCGGGTGGGCCTGCACAGAAACGCAATATTCGACCGTTACGAAAATGTGTCACGCTCATTTCTAGCTGATTTACGTGCCAACCACGTTGCTAATGAACTGAGATTAGAGATAATAGATGAAGAATTACAGATAACAGAGAATAAATTAGTATTGAAAGTACCAGGGTCCCGTGTAAAGACATATCCATGTTCCTATGTACTTGCGTGCACCGGAGGTACTAGTATCCGACTACCGATTATTTATCTTAGACCTGATAGTGTTATCACCTTCAATTATCCGACATTAACTGAGGTCAGACTATATTTTAAATTAGGTCCCGGGGGGAGGGGGGCATCAAAACTCTAAAAATACGTTTCTGCTTTCCCCAAAAAAGCCCACCAAGTTTACTGTATTCAGCGCATGTCAGTGCTAAGAAAGAACGTATCGCTGCAATTTGATTCCATCCGATGTCGTTAAAAGAAAAGTGTCCGCTCGCCAGTAATAAGCCAACAGCTCATAAGAGGTCCAGAGCGTTTACACGGTCGCGGTAAACATTGACAGAAGCCGAAAATATGTGGAAGCTACAAGGCTTCCAAAACCGTTGACAATTAGTAATTATAGGTGTAACCGTAAACCACGTTTCTAAAAAAAACTCCCATGTAAACTTCAACCGCGTTAGGAGTCGGTCGGTCGATAGACAATCCGCCGATCCAATTATCATCATAGTGTGTACATTACGTCATACTGTTCTTACCATCGAGTAGGTTTTCGCCAACAAAACGAAAACCTCGTTGTCCGGCGTGTACGAAGGTCGGATAGCGTTACCCGATGTCGGAGCGCTGTCGTAAGGGTAGTTGGCTACCAAGGCGCCGCCGTGCAGGTTGGCGCTCAAGACGAACGGGACGGTTTGCAGCCAATTGATGACGGCGATGGTCTCGGGTTCTTGGGCAACTATCTATAATAATACAAAACACACCTGTGTAACCCAAACATAGTTAAGATACTCGAGCCGGTCGTCGCTCTGTCTGATCGGCACACAAACGTCGCCCTAAATCTGCTGCTGCTGATTAGACAGGCGCGTCTTTCGTGTAAAACGTCTTACGTATTCGGGATGACGGACGTCCGGGAAATTCCTGTTCAAGTCCACGCCGTTCGCGTTACTTCTGCCCTTCATGTCGTTTACGTCATCCACTCCTGTTGGACATACAACGCAAGCAATCGATCAACAAAGGATTACACACACACAGATTTGTGCATTATTCAAGTAGTTCTGATTTTTAAAGAATTTTAGAATTATACCAAATGGGCCCAAGTTGAACTTTGTTTTTTTTTTTGTATAATAGCAAGCCGCACAATATTTACCTTCGTTGGACACCTCGTAACCGTCGGGATTCATCGTTGGCATCAGGTGTATCCGCGTTTTGTCCACCAGATCGGTGACTCGTTCATCGAAACCGTAGTTCTGACATAAGTACTCGGCCAACAACAGTATCATCTCTCGACCGACGGCTTCGTTGCCGTGCATGTTTGCCACATACTTGAACTCCGGTTTACCTAACACACACACACACACATTGCACCGCACCAACACGAAAGATATATTATTATTATGTTGAATGAAATTTCATTTAAGAAAGGGCCTAAGCAGCAATGGCGCGAATGGTAGGTTTATCGAGCAGGGAATAGGGGAACGTTACTTACTCCGGGGCACCAGGCTCTATTAGCATATTTATATTTAGCGACCTAATGTAGGTAACACTATTTTTACCTAGGTAATATATTGTTATTAATATTTTATAAACTAAACGTAAATACCATCAACTGGATATTGAGTTCAAGTGGCAATGTCCACTTTATTACACTGTAATTAAAAAACCTACATCAAAATAAAAAACTAAAAATTTTGACCACAGTTACAAAGAAACTATTAAAATAGCGAAGTGCTATTACCTTTGGACGGATTACTTCAACAGCACACAATAGTGCCTGTTTGTAGTATACAATTTTGATAAATAAATAACTTTGGATTGATGCGGAAAACATTTGATCTAATGTTAAATTTGACATTATTTCTAAGTATGAGAGGCAATGTATGTACTAACATAAACGTTGCATTATTTATTATTTTATAAAAATGCATCTGGACCCACGATATCTTCTAAACCGCTAAATCGTTGTCATCGTTTAGCAACTCTAAAGATCAAAAATAATATCTGAAATGTACTAGGCAAAAAATTAAAAAGAAAATCACCGTTTCAAATATCGAGAAAAAAACTAAAAAAATGTGCATATTTTACAAATTAAAATCATACTACTTTAACAAACTATAAAAATATTTAAAAAAACACCTCCACCCAATACTGCAGATAAACGTTAACAAACCAAAAATATCATAAACCTTTTTCCCCTATTGAGGGGGGGGGGGTGGTCGACACTTTTTCTTTATTTATTTTATAGGTGAATTTCTTTGGGTTTAAAATTTGAAAATTATACCAAACTTAGATCCAGAATGGCCTTATAACATACATAATTTTCTTAACATATCAGCAATCAGACTTTTTTTTTTATTAAGGAAAATTCCCCCCAAAAAAAGGAAAATTACACTATGACCGTAGTCAAATTCTATGTTGCTATGTGTGAGTGAATCAACTAGTCAACATGTATTTGAAAACAGTTTCATTATATTGTTAATTGAATAGGTAACTATTGAAATCATTTATCATAGATCAATCCTAATCAGCTTAAAAATACGGTGCCTATATATATATATATTTGTATAGAACTTTCTTTAGATATAATACAATCAATAAACCGTGACAAAAAAAAAATTATATATACATCAAAGACCCTTTCCCCTGAAAGAGGTAGTATTTTTTTCTTCACTAATATACAATTTTCTTTTCAAAAATCTGAAGTCTAAAACTTTTTTGATTTTGCGAGGTTCAACTACTTTTGTATAGCAGATATTTAACAGGTTTCAAGTCAAGCAGTAGTTATGTTTTAAAATGATTTCAAACTTGTCTTTTAACTTGTTTTTCACTAAAAGCCACTTAAAAACTACCAAGTCATAATTAAATGTTCGCGTTTCTTTAACCATGGCACTATTTAATCGGTCTCTTTTTTTTACCAACTATCATATTAGTACTTACCTTGTTTTCAATTTACAACTCTATTTGTAATTAAGAAAAAAAATAAAATCGTTTAACCTATTATTGTTTGTAACATTACAGCATTATTATGGGGTGGACTATAATTTTAACAGGATGAAATATTAACTGTAGCATTTAAACACAAATCAAATTTAAATAATGTTTTTCACGTTTATCGCATATTTGACAATGACTTCACATATTTTTTTTATTGAAACCAAATTTATACTTAAACACAATATATATATATACTCGATTAACAAAGACTTCAAATCAGCAAACTTTATTACATATATTTGCATATTTTAAACTTTTTGAGCATATATTTGACTTTAATGTCGCAATTAATTATTATATTTTATCGTGTTTACTACTGCCAAAGAAAATTATACACAATATGAGAAAAATTATTAAACGAAAATTCTAGTAATAAAATATTGCCCAACAATTTCTAATATAATCGTCATTTTTCTTTTTAATTTAAAAACACCTCCAAAATAATTGTAACTCAAATGTTATCCTGATACATAAAATACTTTTTTAAGTTAATTAACCTATGTAAAATTCTGTTTAAATATTATGCCAAGGCTGCCTAGGAAAATTTAGCTAAAATGATCAGCCGGTTTCAATAAAGTCATGTCATTGCATATTATTTTGTCATTTTAAAATGCATATTATAATACATCATTAACATCCGAGCTGAGAGCTCTAATCATAACTTTTGACATTTTTTTTGGCCGCCAGCCTAATCCTACAATATTGTATATAAAAGTCCTATACGGCAAGTTTTCACATTTGAATTTCTAGTTCATTACATATTTTTGTGTAGCATTATAAAATGTTTTGAACTTGTAAAATTTATGCGACGGGGCGAGTCCTATATATCTTTTTTGCCACCGCGCGAGAGATCAGTAAATATTAGGTATATTTTTATTATTATAATTATTGTCATTATTACCAGGTTGGTGTTTGCCGGGTTTTATGGACACTTCGAGTACGTACAGACGTCTTCCTTGCACGCTCTCGCCCACACTGTACAGTCTGGTTATGTTCGGGTAGTTGACATTGATTAAATTTAACTTGGCAACGAGTTTATCATAATTATGATGTGCGAATCCTACGGGAATGGGGAAACCGTCACTGTCTCTCTGTCCGATTTTCGTTTCTACCACACTCAGATCAACGGCTGAAAGAAAAACAATTCCATATTTTTTTTTCTTACTATTCCTTTGCGCAAACAAACAAACAAACAACCACAAAACGACAAAAATTATTGGTAGGTATGTGTATATATATATATATATATATATATATGTATAAATTAAAATTTCTATTGGGAGTCCATAGAAAAATAGTGTGTCCAAGCTCAAAAATGTCCAGGGGGAAATTACATGTCCATTTAACCGACCCGAAAAATCTTCAATTTAGGACAAAAAAGTCAAAATTTGAACTCGATTGGATAACATTTAGAGGCGACTCGGAGCAATTTTGTACATTCGATTAAAACGTGCCAAGATGATATTATCATTCTCAATTTTGAAGCTACAATATTTGTAAATAACTTCAAAAAAGTACACGAGAAAAATGTTTGATTTATTGACTAAACTGTTTACTAACTAAAACAAATATTTTTATTTTTAAGTAGTGATGAAATATTTCCCTCGTTTACTTTTTTCATCATCTTTTAAACCAGCCGAATAGTGTAGCTTCAAAAACTGAAAAAGACACCAACTTCACAAACGAATATGTCAAAATAGCTTTAAGACACCTCTAATGTTCAAAATTTGACATATTTTTCTTTAATCCTAAATTAAAGATTTTTTTCGGTAAAAAAAAATGTATATACAAAAATGTCCAGAAAAAATATGTCCCAAGTTATTTAAACTATTCTATAAATCGAATAACGACTATATTTATATATGTATTGTATGAGCTACAATATTTACATATAATGTGTGATCAATTAGGTTGTAAGACAATTATTTTGGACATTATTGTACTTGGAAAAACATTTTCCGAACATCGTTTGAATAATTTGTTTGTCAATAGTAATAGTGATAATAATAATAGTATTATTATTATAATCACTATTATTGTTCAAAATTGTTATGTTACAAGATAATATATATATATATATATATTAATATTATTAGACACAATTTAATTATTCGTTTATAGAAACGACCTACAGAGATAAAAGGTTAATTATTATGATATTAGATATGTGTAATCGTTGTAGTTATCGACAACTATTAGGAATAAGTTAATTTTTTAGTATCCGCAAAAGAAGATGATAATACAATATGAAAAACATCCAAATAAGGCAATAGATTCAAAGATTAAAAGTTATATAATAATTTTATGTATAATGTATATATATATATTCATTTTTGTTTTTTCCTAAATTTTGGGAATTTTCAATAATTGTATGGAAGCCCGACAAGTAATTTTGTAAATATGAAAAACTACCAGAATTTTAGACAGTGAAAAACAAAAATTCCATTTTTTGAAAACCGCAGGGTTTAAAAACAAACATAGAAACGACAGATACATTTAAGAAGATACACACCCGCACGTATGTTACATAATATTTATGACAAAATAACCTATTGACCTACAACAACAAAAACAACAACAGTAATTAATAAAAAAACATATCTTTCCACCACTAAGACCTCAAAATCTACTAAAAACGTTCCACCTCCAATATACGTTAATATATCAAAGCAATTGCGTGCGACTCAACAATAAACAGGTGTGTGTGTGTGTGTGTAAGGATTTGGGTGGGAGGGGGCGGGGCAAATTTGAAATAATAATAATAAACTAGAAAAAAAAAGTACTAACAAACAACACCAATGTGTGTTAACCTTAACAATATAACATGATTACTGATCGTTTATTATAATAAACCAGTATAATAATAATGCGTATTAAATTATTATTATGTATATATTATCTCACAATAATTGTTTAAAAAAAAAAAAAACTATTCGCATAGAAAATAATAAACATTTTAATGGTAAGCAAAAAATAAAAATAAAATAATAGTAGAAGAAATATTTTTCAAGTTATAAAAAGATATTATTATTATAAAAAAAGACTCAATACATTTTTATCGTTTTACACGGGTAACATAATATTTTATTATTACTATTATTATAATTATTATATAATTATTAATTATACATAGTTAAAAACTTTCAATAGGAGATAAAATATTTTTACATATTTATTATGATTTTATATATATAAATATTTAAAGGTAGCATATAATTGCAAACTAATGGCAACTCTACGACAACGTAGTAAATTTACAATTTATCACAAACTATTGTTAAGATATTACAAGCACTTCCACCACTTTTTTTTTTTTAAAAAGGTTTTCGCTACACAATGTTATTTTAAATATGTAGTAAAACTTTTACAAACGACAGACATTGTCAGTGAAAACAAGATGAACGTTTAGTAGTTTTATTAATTAAAATAATTACTATTGTGCGCGGTAATAGCGTAAACGTATAACGCATATCGTTTTGGAATAAAAACCGAAATAGGTAAAACAAATATTATCAAGGCACGGATTAAAACATATGTATAATGTACATATAAAATTATCGTACTTTAATGTTACTAAAAATTAAAAAAATCCTGAACAAAAATTTCAAAAAATTATTTCAGTGCAAATTTCTGGTGTAATCCATACCCTGCTTGTATGTTGATTAATCAAATAAGTTTTTTAAGTAGGTACTTATATAAAGTAATATTATTATAGTTTACAGATATTTTAATGTATACCGTTAGTTTATGTACAGTTTGCTCTTTAAGTAAATACACCGTTATGAGTGCATAATCAACACACGAGTAAGTTATAGTACGGTAGCCATCCAAAGACCACAAAAAGAGTTGTTAATTGAGTAAAAAATAACACTAATATACTAAACGCAGAAAAACAAATTCTAACAATACACGGTAATAAAAGAAACCTTACTAAACAAATATGTATTGCATAAGTAACGATTGTTGTTTGCAAGTTTGAGACGTAACAATTATAAAGTCTTGTTACACAGATATTTCTTATATGACAATTAATTATGACTATTTTGTTATCATTATTATTATAAAAACCAAAGAACATTTGAATTGCACAGACGCTAAAAAACGGTAATGTTGCGGATTTGCATCGGTTGTATATTAACCATAATGAAAAAATATTATTTAATTCATTTTTGTTTAATATACTAGGTATAACAGAAAGCCCATTTTTTTTAAAATTAAATTTAAAGTATGTAATATTTGTGACTCTTCAGTACAAGAAAGACTAATGATAAAAAATATTATATTTCAATTTGGCGTAAGCTCAAGTCGTCAAATATATTTTTGACACTTTCTGACCAAACAAAAAATCTAAATACTGTCTCGATTGAGTGATTTTAAACACTACAATTTTTTAAAGATTTGTTTGGATTTGAAAAAACTATATTAACATAGTTACTAGAAGAAAAGCCATTATCGATAAAAAAAAAAATCAAACTGAAGATTTTAATGAATACTGAACTGTGAATAAATTTCATTTATCAGCGTTTGTGTTGTCCGGGTTCTGTAGAATTATTTTCAAAAAGTGAACGAGCAGTTGCTTTTCGAGTTTGTCCCTGTTTTCGTTGGGCCAAAACGCTTTTAGGTCGTCCGGCGAACCGTTGAAAATGTCCCTGTTGGGCGGCGCGTTGGTGTACTGCCAGAGTTTCCATTCGTTCCAGCCGTCCGGTATTCTGGGCTGGTCCTGGGCATAGGAAGCGATCCACAGCGGGCACTCGGTCAACAGGGGGGTGGTGAAATTTTTCAAACAACCGAAACTGCCGTAGATCATGACGGGGCCGTTGTCGGTGGCGTTTTTCACGGTTCTCACAAATTGCTCGGCCTGTCCGGGCGTGATGACGCTTCCGTTGGGGTACGGCTCCACGCCCAACACTAGTAGCGTGTTGCCCGTGTTACCGCCGACAGTGTTGAGGAAGTGCCGGGCTTGAGCGACACCGTCGGCGTTAACGCCCCGATGATAGGCGCCCCATAGCAGCCCTCTGTGCAGCGCGGCAGTCCTCCTGGACTGGTACGCGGAGTCTATCGCCTTGAGCCCCTGGGTGGCTTGGTGAATGACGGCAACAGCGCCGCTCTCTTTCAACTGTCGGAAATCGACGTGTCCGTTCAACCGCGAGTAATGTCTCACCAGGTCCACCGATATTTCGCCGTTAGGATTTTCTAAAGGAATTAATTCATCAGACACAACAAACAATCAATAAAACCACAATCGCGCTGGTTCGACAGATGGCATCGCTGATTCAATAAAAAAATCCATTAATACATCACGTACACAACCTTATACATGAGATTCTACAACACAAAGCTCTGATGACGACGACAACGAAAACGACAAACATTGATGTTTATATAAAATTAAAAAAAAAAACCCACTCCAATCGCAACATAATAGTTTTGCGGTCATCGACACAAATGGGTTTTATACATTTTGAAAAAACATACATTAAGTTTTTTACATGATAATTTCAGGACGCACTAACAATATCATATTATAAAAAAAATGTAGATATAGTATAGTCAAAACTATGTTTTTTTTTTAACTTAAAATTTATTTCTATCTCTAGCAGCTCAACCTGATGTTTAAAAAAAAAAAATGTTTGCAGAAGAATATTTAATATAATACTATTAAAAATAGCATCTCTGCTAAAACCTATTCACTTCAACCAAAAAAAAAAAAATCAATTACAGTGACGGATCATTTGGACGGTAAATATTACTAATACTACTTATTGTTAAGACTTAAAAATTAGTTAATTCATGACACCTTTAACGAAAAAACGTTATTGAACAAAACACAATGCAAAATGTCGGTAGTAAAAAATTAAATTTGAACAGCCGTTAGAATGATATGGTCATGGGTGAACGGATAATGATGACGGTAGTAACAAATGAAATGCTAGTAATGAATTAAGTAATTTCGGTTAAGTTAAGTATACGTCAAAATGTGTTAGCGGTTATGTTTTTAATATAAATCAAGTACACGAGCACAGTTTTAAATAGTAAAAATCAATCAATCTTTAGTAGACAAAATTAGGTATTTTATTCAAAATGCTTTTAAACGTTTTAATATTTTTAGAAATTTAAAAATAAACTTTAACCGATACCTTCCAATATAACGAGAGCCACTCCTTTTAACACAGCACACATGATTTGATTCTCGTTGACTGTTTGTCGCACACGCAAACTTTGGCAAGTTCAGTTTGTCGGGTTATAGTTCTTAAAGTTTTATCCAAGTTGTTTTAGTCAAAAGCGTAACACCGAACGAATGCTAGGTATATTTTGTTATGTTAGTAATGTGTTTTGTTAGTGCAAACATATAATATTATTAATTTAAATACGTTACACAATTACCTATTTAAAAAAAAAAAGTGCGAAAAATACTTGTTATTTTAGATTGAGTAAAATATGAATGACAATAATTAATTACACGTGCGATATGAAAGAAAAGAATTTAAATAATGATTATTCTAAGACGAAAGCTGTTGGATTGTGTACTATTACGTAGAATACTGATTTGAACCGCATTCGATGGAAATATACCATATCGTACAAAAATCAGTTGAAAAAAACCTTGGAAATCAATTCGATTTAAAATTTTTTTTTTTTTTTATGCTAATCGTCAATATTCATTCAAGACTAACATATTTAATAAAAAAAATTCATAAGTACAATTGACGTTTTATCTAATTAACGGTAAATTGGTTTTATAATTATCCAGAACAATTATCACAAGTTTTGATCACAAGTTTTCTGAAACATCTGTTTTTAATTATAAAATATACAAAAAATACAAGTTTCTACAAATTTCTAACATTAAATTGGCGTTGTTTAATATACAAAAAAAAAGTTTAAAAGTAAATACATTAACGCATTTATGACACAATCCAAACAAATAAGAGTTGTTCTTGATAAGATAACAAAAAAATGTTTAAAAAAATATCACACGGGTTAAGTATAAAATTTCAGATGGTAAATTCTTACAATTACGGTGAGATTTCGTCAACGCTAACAAGGTATCGTCAACAATTTTAGGACACTAAATCCAATATGGACACGACGAATACAAATACATATGAACAATACATTGATAATAATATAAACGATTAATACAAGATGATTCACAACTAACACCATAGCGTCCGCTCAATGTAAACATTGTAACAGTACTTTTTTGGAATCATAAAATTCAACAACACTATTAAAACCACATTGGTCAAACCTAATAGGAGAATTCTAAACAGACTTTTTTTTTTGTCATAGTATATTAAAGATAAAAAAAAAAATACAGTACCTAATTTCATGTTACTTATTATACTTAGTCGAATATATTTTATACGAATGAATGAGACCTAATTTCTCGATAAATAATCCATAAAATAAGGCGGATTAGAGCAAAATATTAATATAGACTATAGAGCATCGACAGAGTACCGAATGAAGATTACTTACAGCCACACCGCTACACTGAACACTAAGTGAATCATCTTGTACTATGCACAGTTAACATTGTTACGGACTTACTCTAATAAGTATAAAATAATGAATTAAGGACTAATTGGAATGATTATTATTGTTGTTATAGTGTTGAATGGATAACACATGGTTAATGTAAAAGTGATTAAATAATAATAAGTGAGACATGCAACACCGTTATCAGCATGCAGAAAACCACCGGTATCCTGTATCTTTCGGCTAAAAAAATTTACATATAAAACAGTAAGGTAAGTAAACATTTTAGTAGTATGTGAGGCTCAGTGGACCCCCCAAAATTTTTAAGCTATTGATTTTTAGTTAACATTTTTTATGAAAAAATTCAATTTAACCAATTTTCCACCAAACATTATAAATCACAAATTTTTCCCAAAATTTAAAACCTAAAAGTTGTCCATCCGATATTTTAAAACCAAATTCAGGGGGGTCCTAAGATGCCGCACTTGCTACTTATTTTCAGTAAAGTTTCCCGATCTCACTGGAAATCGTTCTAATCGATACATAAATATTTATTGGTTTAATTTATAAAATAGTAAAAACTATTAAATGTATTTGTATAATAATACGTTAAACGCTTTTTATCTTAGGTAAATATAACTAAACTTTTATAATATTCCTCAAAGTTACGGTAAACTTCATAACTTAGGGCAAGTCGATAGTTAAACATTTTGAATTCATCGTCTAATGAATTGTCGTACGTTGATTATTTTTAAAGTTTTACCTTTTTGATAAATTAAACCATCGTTAAATCCAATACTATAATTAAAAAAACCTTCACCTGTTAGCTTTATTTTCAAAGTTCATGCAATTTGGTAATAAGTGCGTGAACTGCGATATAACTATAAATACATATTTATAATATGTTTATACAAATATTTTTTTTTATTATCATTAACTTAAATTTTTATGAAGTGAAGATTACTGTAAAAATAACAATTAATTACGAGTAAAATATATATTGTAATTAAAATTACCTGATGATGTTTTTAACGTCTGCAGCACAAAGTTGACAGATGAATTGGAAGCATTTTCATTTTTAACTGTGACGTTGTAACGAATTGATGGTCCGTAACTGTTGAACATAATAAAAAGGAAAAATGTTTTTTCTATCGTCTGATAAAATAGTATTATATGGTTATATAAAAAAAAATGTATTTCTAATAATTGTTAATCGATTTAGTTGAGTTTTTGTTTAATTTGCTTAAAACTAAACCTGGTTTGTTTCAAACCTATACAATTTTTTTAACAGAAAAATAACCGTCAAACTACAATACTCATCACACTATCGTCCAAGACGGAGCAACTTGAGCTATTTGTATAAATATTTTAATTTACCCAGGTGCGCTGGCTGTGACTGTGTATGTGCCAGGTAACAAAAGTCGCCAATATTCTCCTCGTTCTGTGGTCTTGACGGAATGATTGATTCCGGAAACCGTAATGGTCGCGCCTGGGATTGGATTATTGTTCTCGTCTTGAACCAAACCTATAAACCATGTACGTGATTCCATGTAATCGATATAAAACAAAGATGTAATTACGAATACAACATGCAAACTTACCTTTGATGCCCATATGAACGTTTTCCAAATACGACAACATTGACTCGCGGTTATTTTCCCATTCCGTAGCCAACACGGATGACGGTGGGTATTTACAACAAGAAAGTTCAATAGTAATCTCGAAACAATTGGAGTACAAGTAGTTGAAGTCTTGCATACCGCCTGAAATATTATAAATTAGTAAATGTAAAACAAATTTAAAGTTTGTTAGTTGCGCACAATCGTTATGGTCAATGTTAATCATTAGCATAAAAATATAAATATAACATATCAATGACAGTGTTAAGGAAATAGAGCGTATGTGACAAAAAAAAAAAGGGTTTGCAATAATATAGATATCTAATCATGTTATCTAACATGTTAATTCTTACTTAAGTTCATACTTAAATCGACCACTAACAATTTTTTTTAATAAAAACAGAAAAAACAACATTATAATTTTAGTCAAGCAATTTCTGTATTCATATTTTTATAGCACATTTCAATTTTTACCGCAATTTTGAGAATTAAATCATTGGTAGTCTATTATCAGACATGGTTGTTTTTTAATTAAATACATTTAAAATATAATTTATTTACAGTTTCAAATAATTAAAAATATTATGTATGATTTGGCTAATGACTATAATTGAAAAAAAAATAGAAAAATAATTTTGATTCTATTAACTCAATATATGTTATTATACAAATAATTTTTTAATTATTAGTAATAATTTGAAATTTTTTAATCAGTTTTTATTTATAACTATTTGTCATTCTAAGTAGAAAATACGGTTTATTCGATTATGCAAATTATATTGTGATAAATAATATTAATAACCAATAGTTAGATTACTAATTAAAATATAATAAAATATAATATATATTAATATTAATATAAAATATGTTATGGGGGAACTTTTTTTAAAATTTAATGTGAGTCACACTTCAGGAATAAAACCAAACAGTTTGTAACATTGTCACTTATTACGTTGACATGAGCCGTTTAAATTAGTATGTTTAGGATAATTAGTGAATAGTTTAAAATCAACAATAACCTCATTAAGCAGAGAATAATTTTTTGTTTCAAACAGACTGAATATTTTTTACAACTAAAAAAAAATAGCGACAAGCACAAAAAACATAGAAATTCGTCATTTAATAACTAAGAAAAACTAACATAACAAAGCGATTTTCCTTTAATACAAATATCAAATAAATACGCAACGATTTTGTAGAAATTGCAGCGAGCGGTTCTATGCAGCAACTTTAAACCTTTCCTGTAAGCAACAATATTTATAGTTTGCATAGTGTTATCGACGATCAAGTCTTAGTCGATACAAATTGTAAGAAAAGCTATGGTTTTAGAATTAAAATTTTTTTATTCTCTTATATCAATGATTATACTTTTCAATAGTGAATTTTTAAAAAAAAAAATTTTACAGATAGAATGCGTATGTTTTTTACATAATTTAAATAGAGTAATATTTTGGAAAAAACCGAGTACAATGTTTATAAAATATTAACGTACCTTCGAGTTCGTACCACTTTGCTCCGTTAGTGATTCCGTTTTCGAAATGCTCTTCTTGGCACGCTGATCCGTTGGCCATTATAGGATTTTTGGCAGCGTAGGTATGAGAAAGGTATCGGAATATAGCGTCGTCAGGCGTCTTACCTTCCTGTGACAAATTGCTAGACAAATGAAATAATAAAAACAAAATTTTAGTATAAGCTTAAGACAATTTTTTCTTCTTCTAAAACCACACAAAATAGCACATTGTATAAAATTAAAATTAAAAAGTGTAAATATACAAATAATAATAATAATAAAAATCAATTTGCATATCTAATATTTAAAATCAGATTTATAATAAGAACAGGGTTGCTACTTTGATTAATCAGGTTGATATAAGTGAAATATATTATCTATATTTTTATTAAATTATTGCCAAAATTACCGAAGTAGCAAATATGATTGATTAAGATTTTCACTTTTTGAATCTTGAAAAGATTCTTGAATACTTGTTAAATACCAAAGTTTTTTAATCCTAATTATTTTTTTAATAATTTATTATGTAAAGATAAATAATGACAATAATTATATTATTGTACGTAAAATTACCAAATAAGTTCCCAGAAACTTTGGATATAATATGTAGCAACCCTGAATTGTTCAAATATAATCCAATCATTACAAACAACAAGTACTTACAAAATAATTTCACAAACAGTCCTGAGTGCTATACAAAAAATTAAAATAAAAGTTATTTTATATTTAGATAACGATAAATTACAAAAAGTATTAAAATATTGTGATATATTTTAGACTTATCGTCGACGTGTGTGATAAAATTGTATGATATGTCGAATTTTAAATGGGTTTGATTCCCACAGAGAACAATTTTAGGTTCATAAATCAAAATAATTAGTTTTTGAAACAGTAATTGAACACCAAACTCAACTTTCTTATAAAATTTGGATGTGAATTCAATTTTTGACAGTTTTTTTGTAGTTAATAAATCATAACAAACCAAAAAAAGGCTGGATAAAATTTCAATTTTGTTTGTCAATTTAAAAAAAAAAAAACACATCTATCTTTTGACAAAATTTTCATTTGTAACATATCATATTTTAAAAACTGAAAGGCTACATTTTGCAATGTTTTGGCTCTCAGCTGAGGATTTTATATACATCAAGAAGATTAATCAGTTTCAAAGATCAAACGTCAGAGCAACGTAATGATATTATAAGTGTCAAATTAAAAAAAAAAAACTTGAAATGTTGTTATCTCAATGCAGATGATTTGCCACAGAGTTTGTTATCATCATCATCATCATCATCAGCATAACAGGCCTTTAAGGCCCAACGCTGCCATCATAAGATGATACAGCCTAACCGAGTTTGATATAGCAATATTCAATACGATAAATTGATAAACGTTAAATATGATGTGTAAATATAATAAAAGTCCAGATAAATAACTTAACGGCGTAAACGACCTCCAGAATGTTTACTCCCAACGACGACCTTTATTTGCAGGCCAGCTAAAAGGCTATTCATCGCAAATATGTATGTTTACAAAACAACTATGTTCATTTGACAAAGCTAAATGCAAATGACAATTTTCTTCTATTAACTGCCGTACAATAGATTCAAATAATATTGCAAAATAATTTACCGCTTACATAAGGATTGATTATGAAAAACAAATGATTAGTTTTGTAAACAAAAATTCAGTGAAAAAACAAACACTAGTTTTTTATAGGTCAAGGCTAAATGATATTTTCATCGTACCAAATCAGTGGCACTTTATTTATAGATTCGGAGTAAAAACACCGGTTGATTAAAAAGTAATTTACAGGGGAAGGGACAGGACTAGTTCCCAATTATAAATATTATGAATGGATACAAGAACTGTTAAAGATTGTACTCATTAAGTTTTAAATCGAAAATTAGCAGTTTTTACGAAACTAAATTACTATTGCTTACGCAAGGGTATACAGCGCCGTCGTCTAATATAGTTTTTAAGCGTGTAACATTTAACTATTTAAATTATACTTCTACTTGGATTAAAGCATTTTTAAATACATAAAGTACTTAAGAAAAATAAGTATCACACTATTGTGTTTTCTGTTTTTTTTTGGGCACCTCATTAAAATATTTTTTGTTTGAGTTATACTACTGCACTGATTTAACATACTTGTACAAGTTTCAAATTGATCACTATAAAAATGTAAAAACATTTTTAAATATATATTAAAATACAACTATAATTATTATTATTATCTTCCAATGGTAGTTATCGTTATTGTTTCCGCTATCAATCCCATACATGTCTATTGGTTCTTAACCAATTAAGTGTACTAATTAATTTTGATTAAGCCCAACTTCTGTTAAGTAATATTGAATATGACATGGTGTGCAGTAATTGATAATTAATAAATCATTTATTTCAAATTTGATGTGGAAGTATTTGACAAAATTAAACCATACGAGACATTTCAATGAGTTTCTCATAACCCATAACATACTCCATCCATTAGAGAAAATATAGTTAAAGCCTGGTTACATTACAATTAGTCTTATTGTATTTAATTGAATTTGGAATGTTATTTACCATATTTTTAATGACAATTGATTAACAGAATATTTTTGTTTTCCCTATTTGTTCAGTGATGTAAGTGTTAGATAATGAAGGTTAACGTCATCGTCATTTAATTGTCTATAAGCTTTTAATGCCATCACCAACTGGGCTCACACAAGTTGAACATTAACGTAAATAACATAATGACATAAAAATATTTTATAAGCTCCGCGTGGAAGCTGAAATATAACTCGACATCAATTGAAAATAATAAAATAAAACTACAACAATGTTTGTTTAATGTGTTGTCAGCTTATTTCATAGCCCTTAAAATGACTAATTTTATTTTCTAGGGAGAGAACCAAAAGTCTAACGTTTGACAGAAAAATATCTCCTAGTTCATGTATATAATGAGTTCATTTAAGTTCATGGATATAATGTGTAATTTTGAAAGGAATTTCTCGTAGTGTACTGTAAAATATTATTCTTTATAACAAAAATGAAAAAGAAATCAGACTATTTTAAGTGCATAAACGACATTGTCACTGGTTAACACTTTACGTTAAGTCAATCACTCTGTATACCTCAATCACTCCTACGATTTCCTTAAGAAGATAATATTAGTCATGTAATATTTATAAAAATGCTAAGTACAGATTCATTTAAAAATATTATTTTTGGTATAAATCTAGTTTACCAGGCACCTTTTTTTTCGATTTTTTTTTTTTAAATCGATAGTACTTTTAATGCTGATAAACTTTTGCAAATTAATTTTTTGTCGCTTGCACTTACTTTGGGAGTTACAGTTATTTTTTAATTAATGTTTATTTGAATAAAAATGTCGACCAAAAAAAAAAAAAATTAATTAAAAAGATGTCGTAACAAATGGATATTGTTAAAACAAATTTTTTCTTTTTTTAAAGAGAAAATGTTGAATAGTGTGTATAGATAAAAGTACTTAATATTACAATACATTTCTCATATCCCTATTTAATATTTTTAAATGCTATTGACTGAAAAAACAGTTATTAAATTATTTTATACATACTTATAGTACTTGTCGTATGGATAACTAGCAACCACCGCACCGCCGTGGAAATTTGCTGACAATACAAACGGGTTATGAAGAATCCAATTCATGACGGCTTTGGTTTCTGGTTGTTGCATGTCAAAGTATTTGTTGTCTACTTGTGGGAAATTTCTATTTAAATCGACTCCTTTCGCATTGTGTCGTCCGACATAATTCTTTTGTGAATAACAATCGCCTTGCTAAAATTGAAAAAAAAAACAATCTTCTTTAAATCATATTTGGGATAAAATAGGTACCTAATAGAAATTAAATTGGAAAAATTGCTTACGTGCGAAACAGAATAACCGTCAGGATTAAGTGTAGGCATCAAGTAAATGTCAGTTTTGTCGACAATTGCGGTAACGCGATGGTCTTGGCCGTAGGAAGATGTCAAATACTGAGCTAAATACAATAGCAACTGCAAACCAACAGTTTCATCGCCGTGCATGTTTGCAATGTACTTGAACATCGGTTTTAATAGCGCTCTCTTTGGGCCAACATTTGATGTGATTTCCAACGCTAATATTTTTTTACCCAACGTCGAAGTTCCAATTTCTTTGACACGCGCTAAGTTTGGATACTGCCTCTCTATCCTGTTGAATAGATATTCTATTTCGGCAACGCTGTAGTATTTGTTATCGAGGAAGTCGTCGTGTAAACCAACTTCGCGAATGGACTTGGCGTCGACGGTAGACAATATAAAAACAATTGCACACGATAACTTAAATAACGCGGAATACATTATTGACGGTTAAATTAAAAACAATACGATTTCGGTTTCTACTTCTAGTAAAGGAAAAATATATGCTACTTGATGGCTACTGGTAGGTAGATCGTTACAAAATGAGATTCATTGAATGTTAAAAAAAAGAAGAAATTAATGATATTAATATGTTTTTTTTTTTGTGTGAAATACTAAATTGGTGTTTTACTGAACGACATTAACGACAAGTCGGTGAATCATTAGCTGCATGGCACTCCGAAGCAGCTTAAGTTTCAACTTTCAATTTATAACTGAACCGTTTTTACTGCAGTTGATGAACCTGAGGCGTTTGCCGTCGGTGAGGAAGTGTGCAACGTATCCACGTGATAAGCGTTATCACGGATTAAACAAAAGATGATCGACAGTGTTGCCAAATCGAATGACATTACACATTGTGTAAAAAAAAAAATCTATTATTGTTTTACATGAATTTACGAATGAATTACAGTTTACTTTTTCAAAAACGCGTCATATACTCATATTACTTCAAAAACTTTAACCCAATCGAGAAATTATTTCAGATAATTAGTTATGGAACTCCAAAGTGTAATTAATACGTTCTGAATTTAAGGTGGTTAAGACTGGAAAAAAATTCACGGTTTTATTCGTAACAAATTTTTTATTCCAATTTTTTATTTTTTTTATACAATAAACTATTGGTAAAACGGGTCAGCTAATCTTATCTTATTTGTGAACAAAATACTTAAACCTTTAGGTATATTGATCAAATTTAGATAATACGTTTTGATTCAACAAACGTTACTATTATAATAAGTGTATCATTGCAAAAAATAAATGTTTGGAATTATAACGGTACATAATCAATTTCAGAAAGAAAAACCCGCCAAATCCGACAGAAATATATATTTTTAGCAGAAAAATAATGAATTTAGAAAAATGTTCTCAAGAATAAATGATCGCAATGTATTACCATAAAATTTAAGTTAAACTAAAAATAATAACATAATATTATTTTTTCGGTTACATTATCAGTTTTGAAAATAGGCTACTCAATTTATGAGTCTGTATTTGTATGATTTTACAATTTTGTTTTTTTTTTTAGTGTAAGCAAATCAATATGGGAGTAATAAAAATGTAGACGATTTGCTTGTCAGAGAATATTATACAGGAATAATAGTTTATTCGTTTATAGATAAATGATATTCACTGCCCACGTCCCAAAGGTGATCACTGACTAACCAGTACAATGAATAATGATACCACTCAAATTTTGTCCAATACTATGATTAAAGATAGTTCTCATTTTTAAACCAAAGTTTATTATTATTTTTTTTTTTGAATTCCATTCATTTAAATTCAGTCCGATATAAAACGAATGAATTCCTCATTCCTTAAAAATAAATATAATACATTTGTGATTGATTCCTCTAAAAAAAGAATGAGTAGAGCATACCTATTATATGTATAGGTATCCATATATATTACATATGTACATTAATAGGTTAATCAGTATTTAAATACTTATTTTGGTCAAATATGTATGAACTATTTTCGTTCAAATTTGTATAATTTAACAGATTTTAATCCTAAAAACAAGCAAACTCGAAAAAAATTGTTTAAAAATTGGACACTTTTGAAAATGGACAAAGCTTTTATGATGAAATATACAGGGTGATCATTTTATCGCTAACCACTCAATATTTCATTGGGTTTAATTAAATGTGATCTAAGTTTTCCACGAATTTTTATGTTCCTATTTTTTTAATTAAAATGTTAATGAAATGTAGGTATGCGTTACCGTTTGTGTTTCAAAAGTAAGTATATAAGATTAATTAATTTGGAAAGGGAAAAGGAACTTTTAAATTTGTGAAAAATTGAGATCACATAGTGCATAAGAGCACTATGAAAAAATGTGTTTAAATTTCTTATTACACCCTGTTTGAGATATTGAGTGGTTCACGATAAAATGATCACTCTGTATTGCAATATTGTAATCGTCACTGTTAGTTATATTATATTGGTTATTTTTTCTTATTGTTTTTGCTTTATTTAATTGAAATAACGAATTTTAATTAATTGTTATCATATAAATGTGCAAGTTATATTGATTATATGCGAAGGTCATATTCTATTTATTGTAAATGTAAAATAAAATTTACTGGCGAACCAGTCAAGATATTCAAATGGGAGTAACCGCAAGGCGTGTAAATAGTGTAGAAAAATATACTACTTTAAACTTATTATTATAGTTACTAATTAATAACGTCATACTACTATAATAAGGTAAGATATTCGCATATTTCTTTCAAATATTAATCAGTACATTTCCGAGAAAACTTTATTTAAAAAGCACGAACGCTTAATTGTTCTCTATCAATTACTAAGATTAAGAGTCCAAATAATCCAACTTCCAAGTACATTTACTTATAAATAAAAGTCTCAACTCTTATTACAGAGGCAAAACAAATATATATATATAGGCGTTTAACTGTTTAGAGGAGGGGAAATGGGACTTGAAACGGAAAAAGCTAATTATTAACGGACAAAAATATGTAGGAAATTGATTTTTAGGTTTTAAGTATGAAAACTCAAACTTAAAAGGCGAATTACCGTTAATTTCTATATTATGTTACATTATGTTAAAATTCAATTTTTTTTTTTCAAGTTTAATAAAAAAAAAACTGTTGTAGAAGTCAAAATACAAACCGCAAGTATGCGACCCGCGTTGTAAACACAGATTTTTGTTTAAGTACAAGTATATATAGATATAAGTATAAGTATTTATAAATAATATGTTTTTACAAAAACAATGTACGCCTGTAAAACCTGTTTGTTCAACTAGCAATTGAACTCGTATTGAACATTGTATTAGTGTATAAAGATTTTTTTGTTGAAAATAAGTACATGGTAATATCGTTTTCTGTGTCGTAGGTAGTCCGTAAATAAAAGTGGAAAAATGTCGTTTTACAAAACAGAACTGAAAAGTAGAAAACTATTGCGATCGAGGTGGCCATCATTGTATATTTTTCAGGTAAGTTCCTAATAACAATATTTAGAAAACGATAACAATATTAACTATAAAACAAATTTTTCCTATATTATAACAAATTTATTATTATAAGAAAACAATTTTGTATTACCTACATATTTTATTATATAAAAACTTATTTTGGCCGTAGAGTATACAGAGTATACCTATGTACACAGTGAAAATCAAGGTTACATAAGTTATACCTACCCAAAATTGTACTCTAGTGCAAAAATGATCAGAATTCGTTCAAAAATTTATCCGTAAACGTGTTGTACTTGTTGGTTTGTTTGATATTTTTTTTAAAATTAAAATTAAAAAATAAGGTATTACTTGCAAGTTCTGGGCAAGATCATATATTAGTTATTACTATTTCTAGAACACGCGTTATGAGGTCAAGTCCAAATAATGGAAGTTTTAAATGTTTTACTAGCCATAATTTTTTAAAAGGAAGACTTCACTATAAATGCTTTAGGCCACCATACTCCATAGACATTTTTAAATTTCCACAATTAACTGTACTATTATTTGATAGCAGGCAAACAAAAAATGTTTGTATGATTGTTAGGTTCAAAAAGTATTTAATATTCTTAAATTATTAGTTTAAAAAATGAATAACTTTGTACTAAGCATATAATACATAATATTATTATTTATCACAAAATTATTTTATTATATACAAAACAAATTTAATTAGCTGTCATAAATATAACTTTTTTTTTTTTTTTTTAATAGCAAATGCAATATTAAAGTATATACCGAAAATACGCTTTCATTAGTTTAAAATATTAAAAACTAAAATAACACAGAATATATAGGAATAACAATACACTTTTATTTATATTACAATTTACAATTAGTTATTATAACATAATAGAATTATTAACAAAATATTTCATTTTAAAATTGCATGATAATCAAATGATCACTTATGAAAAAAAAAAAAGGAAATTGGCGAAAATCACTTTTTGGGTTAGCCAATTAAATTAATAGTTAATAGGTATGTACAGTATTTTAAGAATAGGATTCTAGACATCACAAGCAATAAAAAAAATAGTATAAAAAAATGTAATTCAGTCTCTTATCATTATTTTTCTTTTTTTAACAATAAAAAATTGTTTTCGTGGGTACGTAACTATTAAAGACATTTATAAAAAAACAATTAAACATTACAAAAAAAAAAAAGTTTTAACCATTATTTATATCATATATAATATATACTTGTAGATTTAAAAAAAAAAGCAGTAGAAATAAATAATCTTTTTCTTGGTTTGGTTTTTTTTTTCTACTAACATTGCTGCATGCCATCATGGTTTAAGCTGAAAAACTTAATAACCGTATTGCTTTGCAACGTCTCTGGACAACGGTACCAACCAGTAATCCGGTAATCTGTTGTTGTGCTCTCTCAGGTATTGATTGATCAACTCGTCGGACACCGGATGATGGTTACCGTTGGGCAGACTAACGTAAAACTTGACTTCACCGTTGTAATTCGGTTTAGAAATGACTTTGCACTTTACGTTGACATGCGACGAATTGTTGTTGGTCGTAGTATGGCCATTGACTCCTCGGTTGGTCGTTGAGTGTCTCTTGGTCATGTTGAAGTGAGACGGTATTGTGGATTGAGGTTTTCTCACCACGGAGACTTGAATTCCCTTTGGAAGACTGACGTTGGCCGGCATAACCGTGACGTTAGGCGAAAGCCTTGGCACGGAAACACCATTGGAAGCTTGTTGAACTTGACGTCTGTTGCGGTTGATGACTACAGGACTACGGCGCGGGGGGGTTTGACTTATGTTTCTGTTAGACATGACCGATGAGATTTTCGGAAGAGTAGCTATTGTGTTCGTAGTGACCGACACAAATTGTACATCATCTTCTTCCTCATCGTCACTGATAACAATTTTATCGTCTTCGTCTTCAATGACAATAACATTGTTCGTTTCGTTAGCGGGTTTCACTGTGATCGAATCGTTGGAATTTTCGTCGTCCAACGCTATGACTTCGTTGTCTTTTAAGTTTAACATCTCTTGGCCCGATTTTTTGCCAATTGATTCTTTACCATCATCGCCAACTCCCAAAGTTTTGCCATCAGACTTTGGTAGTGGGTCTTGGTCTTTCGTCGGTTCCTTACACAATACCACAATGTCTTCTTTGTCGTCGAATACACTCAATTCGTTTTGGTTGTCGTCGCTGATAATATCGTTTTTATATTTTTTCGTTACTGGTCCGTCCGATGCCTGCCGAGAGCTATCGACGCCGTCCACACCATTAGTAATCAGCATCGGTAAATGTTTAGTCGGCAACGCATCTGCTCCGATGGTCACTGCACGTTGGCCGTCATCGGTCGACGGTTCGGTTTTAACGCCTTTCAATATGTTTTTCGTAGCCGAATATTCGGTTTTGACTTGGACTGTCATTGCCCCGGCACCGTCGGCTTTTAAACTAGCGTGTCTTCGGTCTTCTATCGGACTCTCCGCTTCGTTGTCGTTGGACTCGCTCGGTCCAATAACGTTTTGCCGGCTGTTCTTAACCATTCCGTTTCTACACTTTTTGTTTGTCGGTTCCTCGAACGGCGCGTCGGGATTGTCGGCAACGTCGTCCACGCTATTGTTCTTCTGCAAACGTCTTTTGGGCGTTTTGTTTTTTTCTTTAGATTGTTTCTCTAGTTCGGACAGCTTGGATGGGGCATGGTTCGTCTGTTTGGACCTGGAATTTTTCGATTGGTGCAAAGCGCCCCATTCGTCTTCGGAATCAGAAAAATCGCAAAACGTTGAATCTTCCCATTTGTCACTGTGGTACTCGTCGGAATCGCCGGCGTTGAAGTCGAACCCTTGATGGACCACTGCTCGCCTTTTGCGCTTCTCTAATATTATTTCCTCGCTGGTAACTAAACAAAATGATATATAAATAATAATATACTTTTAAACTGTACGCGCAAATTACCGAGATAAAATCACAGGGCCCACTACTCAGAAGCCAAGAGCAATAAAGGTGTTGTCGACAGGGTCAAGACAAATCGATGCCATGTCTCCAATTTTATTTAATAAACCTTAGGAAAAAGCAGTAAGCAAGTAAGAATGGATCGGGAAGATGTCAGGCTGGGAAAAACAAAAATCGAACTTTTAGCATATGCGAACGACACATTCTCTCCTGTTGGCAGAAATTTAACAGCAACTCGAGAGTGAATACAAAAAATGAATAGAAGCAGCGAAACGGTATGGGATAACACGGAAAAAACGTGATAGTAGGGAAAAAAGAGGTGCTTTCAAATAGTCAAAATTAATACATCTAAACCCGGCTCGCGGTCAACTAATATTGTAACCATCATAACTTGAGGCTAGGGCAAATTTAAACGAGAACTTTCCCCGACTTTCTGTGTCTCTTATCAATTATCCAAGAACCACCGGTTTCCCCTAAACTCATACACACTTATCACTATCACCCCCCCCCCCTATCTCGTTTGTCAATTAAATGTTGGACGGTATGGTCTTGCAAAGCCAAAACCGCAGAAAAAGAATACCGTTGTCCAAAAAAATACATTCACAATACCATTGGCGATCAAGCTACAGTATAGCATTTTTAAACAGAGCTGGTCGCGTTGGAGAAACTAGAATGGAGGGAGGGTTCAAATATTTCTAAACAGGGGCTTAAAAAAACGTCAACAACCATTCAGGCACAGCTTACTTTGTTTACATTGTATGCACGACTTGTAAATATGTTCCATTTTAATTGTTCAGTTTTAGGTTATGCAATATTATATTGATTTTTGTATACACATATTGGTTTGGCTAATATTTAATTCAAATTAACGAACTCGTTGTTACACTGAACAACAAAATGTCAGGAACAAAAACAGAAAAAAACTATATTTTAAATAAACACTAAAAATGTTCTAAATATATATTGAAATGCAGTTTTGATTTTGATAAAGGAAAAATTAAGAATGTATAATATATACACATTGTACATAACAAAGAAATCCACATCTTTTGTAGTTAAATATATATATATATATATCAATTTCATAGTCGTTAATCTTAAATAACATTCATTAGACCTTGTTTTAGCTAATTAAATAGCTATAAGTCGAAAGTTAGCAAATTGTCAAAACCGGTTGCATTAAAAAGGTCTAGTGATCTTCCAAATGCTTAGCTGTTTTTAAGTATAATTGGATGTTAGAAATATTTCTAGGGGGAAAAAATAGAAATTAGTTGACCGATTGCAAGTGGTTTTAGCTTAAAGCACTTAATATCAGAAATAGCTAAAAAAATCTAAAATTTTACAGGAAAACTAAGACTATGTGTATTCTTATGTGATAGTCGTTAGTTTTAAATAATTTTTAAGAATTTGTAATAAATAATAAAATCAGCACAACAAAAAGAGGCATCTCATTAGTCACTGATAAATGCTGTAAGATCAATAAGTTGTTTTTCATTACTTTTCAATTAAAAAAAAAAAATATGGTTAAAAATAAGTATTGACAGTTATGAAAGCACAGTTAAATTTTAGCTCATATATATATATAAAAATTTAAACAAAAACTGCCAAGCGAAAAAACAACGATAATGTGAAAAGCAAGCGTGACATTATCAAATTACCTAAATCGAGCTTAGAATGTTTGTTTTCTTTCTCTTCCCAAAAAAGTACTTCATCAACAACGTTCTGCGATCTTTCGGTATACGATTTCCAGTCTTTAAATAGTTTTATTTTTGAATTGTTATTTAAAACAATGAAATTGCATTCCTCTGGTTCGACCTTATCGATGAAATCTTCTAGGGAATTTATCAGGCTTTCGGTTTCGGGTTTGTCTTCTTTAATGAGATCCTCAACAAAAGTACGGATACCTTGAACAGAGTCTGCTAATAGTTTAAAATTGTTCCCGTTCGGCTTGACGCGGGACCTTGGACGGTATATACTACGAACACCTAGTTATATTGTAAACATAAATTATTTTCACGTAACATTTTTTTTTTTTGTTTTTATCAAAATATAGCATTAACTATTTTAACGCACCGGATATAATCGAGGTTGCGCCTTCCTTGTCTTCTTCGTCCACTTCTTCTACTTTCAGAAATTCAAAGTCAGGCTATACAGGGAAAAAATGCAGAACAATATTTATTAAAAAAAAACCATTTTGAATCAGTTTTCAGTTTCTGTTTTTATTAAAAATTACCTCATCATACGATATATGAGAATAATACAATCTTAGGTCTGGCATATTATTCAAGTAGAAATATTCTTCAGTTTCCATTTCGTTTTTCCAAATTGTACATTGCCGTTCGTTGCAATTCAGTATAATATCACTTACCCTTTTATGTTTGTTCTAAAACAGAAAAAACACATTACTACAAGTTGTTATTAAAAAACAATTTTTTTTAGGTAATTACAGTCGAATAATCACAGAGTCCTTTCACGAGCCAAACTTTCATTAAGTACGACAATTCACAATAATCATAATCGACTAATGGGTTTTTATCGCCAATGACGGCCCAAAAGTCTGCATGAATACCCAACGACTTGAAAACCTAAAAAATATACATAATAAGGAAATACTAATTATTTGGATGTTTTCGTAAGCAAACGATCGTCTAATATACATTATAATATAATATACGCTTTAAAATTTTCAATAGGCATAAAATAATTGTTAATAAAAACATACATTTACTTTGTTTCGTTTCTTTGAATGATAAACTTTGAACCACTCGGATACTTTTTTTGACAACTTTTCCGACCATACTTTGTACGGCATTATTTTGTTGATATATTTCGACTTTCTTATGGGCATAAGCAACGTTGTCATTATTTTGCCCATCGCGGTTGACTCTTTAGGCATTAAAAACATTCTTTCAATTTCACCTTGATTAATGATTTCAAAATCGTATTCTCTAAACAAAATTGATAGAAAGTCTCCTATTTCTGGCAACTAAAAAATAGAAATTTGATAAACGATACACATTATATAATATACTTGACATTAAATTTATTTGTTTTCGTACTTACCTCCCACATTGAGCTAATATAACTGTAATGTTCGTTAAAACTGACTTCGTTTTCCCATTTAAGTAGTTCTCCTAACAGTGTAGCACTATCCTCGTCGGTGGTGAGAGTGTTAGACAGAACTTTGTGGTACTCTTTTAATCGCTCTGGGCGACAATGAGCAACACTTCTGAGCAGTACAGAATCATAACAATCTGAAAAAAAAATGTATATATGCACTAATTAAAAATAAATATAAAAAATAAATTATAAATTGTATTGGCTCGCTGAGTTTGCATCAAAAATAAGTATACCAATATACATTTTTTTTGTTATTAGAATTTAAAAATATTGCAAGCTTTTTTTTATACCACAAACAAAAAATAATAATTATTTAAAAATATACCTTTAGGATATCTATATTTGTAATTTGATTTATTATCCAATTCAAATGCGTCTATCGCATGTTGAACGTCTGCCAAAAGCCGAAGCCTTCTATATCAAAAAAAAAAAAAAAATTGTAAATAATTACACTATTGATTTAAAAATATTGCTTAAGTGTTTTAATTAGAAACATCACAAGTGAACAATTATAAGCATGCAAATTTAAAGTTTCTTTCTAACTTACAAAAGGGATGTCCTATTGATGGAATCGCCGAATTCGATGAAACTCTGTCCGAGAAAGAATGATCTAAAGTAGTAATAAAAGAATCCATATTTTGCCGATTTAGTCAACGAGTCGTAGTTATAACCGATATCTATGAATAATGACTTTAAGGTTTACAAAACGCTTTGAATAGATAAATATATATATATTTTTTTAACTACGATGAAAACGGTTATTAATACGGATAGTTTTTACATTTACTTTAGATTAATCTGACAAAGTTTTTTAGAATTCAGCGAATCTATTAATACGACTTTCTCTTGTTGGGTATTTGTACGGGACTCGTAGTAAGTTATCTGTGTTTTCTAAAATTAACCACCAAAAACAATTATGACATAGATAATATATTGATAGGCATATAAATAATGCATTGATAGCATGTACTTAGCTAAGGCAAAATGGTTATGCTTATTAATTATATTCACAAATGCACCATCAAACATGATAGGTATGAATAAACAATTTATTATAATATATAATTATGAAAATATCATTACTCGTCCAGACAACTAATGCTTTTGTCCAATATTTCTTCGAGCTCTAACGTTTTTGAAGTATTTTCATTTTTACACCCAAAATATTTATAACAGTTCAAAAAAACATGTCTTATATCCATAACTACGTCTGCCAACGATTCGTACTTTTCTTCTTTTAGTTTGATTTCAACTAAAAATATTTTGGTATTATACTTATGTAATAAAAATAAAAATATATATTATAGTATACACCACACTATGCCATTATATAATATTTCAATAACAAAAACGTAATGAAATGTAAATTAAATGGTTGTTTAATCATGATACATACTCTGTAACAAGTCTATATCGTTGCCAATACTTTCTTTGAAATCAATATCGATAGATTCGTCTTTTAAATTTTTCAAAATCACTGGAGCTTTTGAATAAATTTTTTTAAATATTCTGAAAACATGGATTTCATTATTACAACTTCACAGTAAAAAAAAAAAGTTATACATCAAGTATAATTTGTAAAATTACTTGTGAGCTTCATCCAGTTCTTTTGTTTTTTCCTTTTCGTTTTCTGTCGATTCCTCCATGTTTACCTGAACAAGTGAAAAAAGTATTATTAATTAAATTACACATTTTCTTAAGCTAATATTTACACACATTCAGTTTTTAACTTTGAAACCCTATTACAATATTTTCACAACACGGCGACGTCATATTCGGTCTAAAGGATTATTTTTAAAAATAACAAAGAAACCATTTTCAAAATTACTAGAAAACAATAAGTTCTCCCTTTGTGTTTTTGTAGAAATTACTTCATACCTAACTTGTACTTAGTTTAAGTAACAAGTTGCATATTATTTTTACATTTTTAACGTTTAATCGAATAAATAGATTATTAGCTTTTTTTAAAAAAATTTAATTATAAACGATATTCAATATGTATTACGCTAAGGATTTTGAGCCTTATAGACATCCGGTAAGAAGTCATGGAAGCAACCCTTTTAACAATAAACAACAGCAGTCGAGAATGTTTTCAAAGAACAATTCTCAAGTTTGGTCAGCGTCCAAGTTGCTAAAAAAGAAAAAAAAAGGAAGCCGGTGGAGAAAAATGTTGAACGACTACTCATTAAACACTACGTTACACGGTCTACGATACGCTGGCAACAACGAATTGAGCGCAAGTGAAAGGTATATTTATAATCTCTGTTATAACTCGTTGTTAAAAGTAACAGAAAGGTTAATAATTTACATTCTGAAATTTAAAGAAAGTTTTGTTAAGGTTTTCCTTAAGTTTATTTCTTTAAAAGAATATTTTACATTGAATAGAACTTTACCTTACAGTGCATTAGAGGTTATATTTGTTTAGGTGATATTGTTTACAACAAAAAAATAGCGTTACAAACGCAGCACGAATAAAATAGAAATTAGAAAACAAATTACATGTTTTCAACTATTCCATTTCAGAGGATTTTGGATTATATCGTTTTGCTTGGCTGTAATAACCGCTGTGTACTTCATTTTCAACCTAGTACACAAATGGAACGATATGCCTGTTATTATAAGTCTATCGCCGAAAGCCACTCAGCTGACGAGTATACCGTTTCCGGCAATCACAATATGCAATATGAATAACGCCAGAAAATCAGTGGCACAACTCATCATGGAAACGTAATACTCCAAAAACCGTGTAGACAATATTTATATTGAAAATCGACAATGTTATGTTTTTTTTTCAACAAAGGTCATCTGATTATGAAAGCAACATCGATCGTCGCCTCTTAAGCGATTTTTGTGACGAGGATCCGCAAGTACTAGACTCATTAATGGACAACCACACGGGCGATTGGGAATCGTTAAGGAAATTTATGATAAGAGTGTCGCAACCTTGTCATGAAATGGTCATCACATGTCTGTGGGCAAGCAAACCGATGGCATGTTCGGAGTTATTCAATCCTTCCCTCACGGATGAAGGCATTTGTTGTTCGTTCAACAGACTTAAGGCAGAACTGATATTCCGGAACCCAAAAGATGTGTCCGATTTAAACGTTTCATTCCCGAACCCTTCGGCCAATTGGACTCCTGAACATGGTTACCCTCCAAATACTCCAGCTGGGTACACACCTTGGAGACCTTGGGGAGCCGGCAACCATCTAGGACTGACAGTTGTTTTGGACGCTGAAATAGACGAATATTATTGTTCGTCCGAAGTCAGTTATGGTTTCAAAGTATATTTGCCTACAGTTTTAAGCAATTTAAACAATATAAAAATAATGAGACGATGATTGTTAGGTAATGTTACACAGTCCGGTGGAAACGCCAAAGATATCTTCATTCGGTAGTTTTATAGCACCTGGCCGAGAAACGGCTGTGGAAATACGACCGTCGGTAGGTATGGCCACACCGACGCTAGCCTCAATACCGAGAGAGAAAAGACAGTGCGTGTATTCCGACGAAAAACGTTTGCGATTCTATAGAACCTACACCCAAAGGAACTGTATGATGGAATGTGAAGCGAATTTCACTCTGATGTTTTGTCAATGCGTCATGTATTACATGCCAAGTAAGAAATATAATTTTTAGCTCACTTAACGAACCAAATTGAATTTTTTTTTAAATTTATTTTATCGATAATTTGCCCCCCATGTTTTGTTACACAGAAGATAGTTATACCAGAATTTGTGGTAAAAGAGACGAACAGTGTTCAGACAAAGCGAAATGTAAATTAATTAAATTTATTAACTACATAGTTAAAAACAACATATTTATACTCAATATTCGCTTAGTGGCAATGGAATTGAGATTTAGTTCAGCAATAATGAACATGAGTTCTTTACTGAATGGAACGCATTTGCCAAACTGTACTTGTTTACCGGGATGTCACTGGATTGGTTACAATAAAGTACAATCGTCTTCGCCTCTATCGAACAGTTACAAAATCAAACCGAAATATTTGGCCGGCCGAGATACGAATTATTTCAAGTGAGCCAGTAACAGTTTATTTATGTTTTGAGTAAATTAAAAAAACAAATCAATAAACTTGTAACACATTTCGTTTTTTCGGGACTTTAATTATACAAATGTGGTGGAAAATAAAAAAAAAAAATGTTTTTCGAGTCGAGGTCTGTTGAATACAAACAAATAACTTTACAAAATCGAATGAATAATTTACTATACTAAAATATTAACGTATAGAGGTAGTAGTTGTACTTAAAACATTATAAAAACAAAACGTGAGTCATACTAGACTGGTTTATTAAAAATGTGTTTAACACAATCGTAAAGTAATAAATAACAGGGTACAACACACTTGAACCAACAATGATGACTTTTCAAGGCGCAAAGAATCCCACAAGAAAGCTATACAAACACATATTGATTCGTTAAATACAAAAAAAAAAAGAGAACATAGAAACAATAGAAAAAATTATATTTTTTTCAGACTAAGGAATATATAAACCGATATAATACGCTGTAAGCGAAATCCTTATAAAAGTACTATTGATTAATTGATAAATAATTATTTGTTTGGTTATGTACATGATATACATGTTTATGTACACACCGAGTACACGTGAATAGTATACAAGTAGTCTAAAAGTATAGAAGCATTAAAACTAAAACTATGAAAACCCAAAAAATTAAATAAAAATTATTTCAAATTATTGGTAACTAAATATATGTAGAAACCTATGGATAAATTATTAAGTTAATTCTTTCTTTTTTAATGTATATAGAAAAAATATGGCAGTGGTACACTATTATTTTGAAGAGACGCAATTTACTGGCTACACTAAAGGAGAACTATTCGGGTTTACAGAATTTTTGTGTAAGTTTCTATAGGTAACTCTATACATATATTAACAATAATAATAATAAACATTTTTAACTAGAAGTGACAAGTAACTAAATTAGAAAAAAAAGTGTAAGGTTTTAAGACTAAAGTGTTTCTTAAAAAAAAAACCCCCACTACCGACAGAGTTCGGTATAGTTTTTCATTTGAATGAAAATTAATTCAAATAAAAAGTTGTTTGAATTATATTTTCAGTTTATTTAAATAGGTGTTATTTAGAATAATTTAAAAACCAAAATGATATGATTGTTGATTTGGTTTAAAAACAATTTTCGATATTTAATTATTCAAATGCAATTATACGAATTAATTATAAAAATAAATCACTCAAATAACTATATTTGAATAATAGTAATGTAATTATGTAATTTAGAGGAAAATTGTATTTATATTTTTCAGTTACAAATTTTAGATGATAGTACGGCAAATTACTAATTTTATGAATTTAGAATGTTACAAACAACATTATTTTCTACCAAGTAACTTTTTAGTGATCTGTAAGATAATTTTTCAAAAGTGAAAATTAGTGCCGGAAATTAATTGAATCAATTAAAAAGTATTTACATTTTTTAAAGGCATCACCTCCATAATGGTATCTTGTCTAAATGTCAACTCTCGCAAATAAATTTCAATGATACAAATTTTGGAACGGCAGAAGCTAAAAACTACTACAATAGATTCTTAACGTTTCAAATTATTCATTATTTCTAATTTTTTTGTTTGGTTTCTTTTGAACTTCTAACTAGTTTATACTTTTAACTAAAATACAGCGTTCCTTCGCTTACTCAAATATTCCAACAAAATCACATATAAAATACATTCGCCATGACGAGAATTGACCGTAAATTGAAACGCACAGATAAAAAATATTTATTATTAAATAATTACATTTTTAAGATAAACGTAAGATTTAATCTTTATTGGTTTTTATTTTAGCCAACACAGGAGGACTGCTGGGTTTGTTTATGGGTTTTAGTTTCCTTAGCGCGGTTGAAATTATTTATTTTATTACTTTGCGTTTATGGTGTTCAATTTCAAAAAAAAAAAAAATTAATACAACTAAATAGTTTAATGTTGTTGAAGTTTTTTGTTCTATGCATGAAGCTACTGTAGAATTAAAAACAACATTATATTTTATGGTATGAGAAAACATGAGTTTTAATTTTATTCCTACCTACCACCGTACAAGAAATTATACACTTGGTGTTAGGTAAATTAAATCTTGTTAAAAATAATGAAAAATATGATAATTTTGTAACTATTATACCTCTTGAAAAATTGTTCTAAATAAAATCTGATTTTCTCAGATTGCTTAAATATTCATAAAGCGTTTAAGCAAATCTCTGACAAGATAATATAGTTATCTCAGATTTGAATATAAAACTACTTAAATAAATGGTATAAGCTTATGTAAAAATTAAAAAAAAGTCTATTATTTAGAGCATCTTTAAACACTAGACTGGTCAATACATTTTTTTTAGACATTAACGATTGTGTTAAGGTAATACAAATGATACCGATTTAATGACCAAAATCGAATACAAATACAAAACATCTTTTACAGGATTTAATTGAAATAAGAAAATGATATTAAGTCAAAAATGTTGGTTTTTCGAATGGTAGTATTATTATACACAAATGAAATGAAAAACTTAATAATTTTAGTTTAGTTCTAGACTATATAATTATCAATTCTTTGAATATAGTTGAGAGGAATTTCTCTACAATAATATAATTTATCCATCAGTTATTAATACAACAGAATTAAAAACTAAACATTATATTGTATTAATTACATTTTTTTTTCCATTAGCGGATAATGTACCTAATTTTTGAGAAATGTTGTAACTTAAAAATTGTTCTTTGTCTAAAAATTAAAACAATACAATGTTTTTTTTTTAGCTAAATAAACTTTTTAACACGTAGATTACCAAACTTAGTACTCATATATTTTTCAAGATTAAAATTATTAAAAATTTGTTCTACTCTGGTTGTTAATTAAAGTAATAGATTTAGAGATATTTTAGATGAAGCGATATTGAATTAAGGTTACATACCAAGTTCTAGTAATCGTCAATTTTAAACTAGGCTTATTAAGATTATTTATTATTGTTAGCTGTAGATAAATGTAAGACGTATTTTGTTAAATTTTTTTTTTTTTTTTTAACTTAATATTGTTTACAATGTTTATTCGAATCTTAATTATCTACAAATCGGTAACTTGTATTTTGTCATCTTGGAATTATAACTTTTTAGCAAACATTATTTAATATTATTGCAGATTATAAAAAATTAAATTGTAATATTATCGAATGTGTGTATGCGGGGTCGTAGAATCGAATTACATAATATCATAATAATATATATGCGGCACAATAGAAAATATTCGATATTTAAAAAAAAAATAATAGCAACGATATTATGTAATAAATAAATAAAAATTGATAAATGAATACAAGATAATCGACAACGATTCGGTAGGTGACCGAATGACTAAAGTCCTATTTGGCCTCTTACAAAAATCACTTCACGAATTAACGGTCCTAGCTATAGTGAACGTATCAATGTATTGCGGTAGCCAAAACCGATTTTCTAGGTAACTGAGCTACTACTAACACTTGACACGAATACTATACGGCAGCCAACGATGATGACATCCGAATCGGTAGACAAAATATCTGGTGTTCGGCGTTGGACGAGATTAACACGAGAACGCCAAACAAGATAATTAGTCGTGTGAAATCGACAACCAAAGGTCAACGTTTGTAAGGTACTACTAAATTACCACAACAACAACAATAATAGCTACAACAACAATACAATGGTGAGAAAAAAAAAGTAGGAAACGGAAGCGTCGCGTCGTGGGGAATAGTAATTTGTAACCGCGATTGTACCGAACTACAGATGGTCGTCACGATAATAATATTTATAAACTCAACAATAAAAAACATTGTACTTACATCGACGGCGGTGGTCATGATGAATTTTTTTTTTCCTCGTCGTTTGCAAAACCAGTTTTTTGGTGTTATTTTCAATATTCAACTTTAGCCTATTTATTAATGTTTAAATACCACTCATTATTATTATTATAATAACAGCAGTATAATATCGTCATTATATGTAGCCGTAAACTAATAATAATAACTCGAGAGAGCAAAAAAAAAAATTTATCAACGACAAAAATTAAGCGTGCATTGATGTCCGATCGTCGTTTGCTGATTATGAGCAAAACAGACCCAACTCGACCGAGTGGCTGCTACGGCATTGCATTATAATATTATTATAATTATTTCGATCATTATCACGCCGCGATATGAGTAAAAATATGTTATGATTACGACCGCGGATGGTACACTATTATAGGCGTTATGGTATCACACGCCCGCACTTTGCGCACCCATCGATAAATGGAGAAAAAATGGCGGACGGCGGTATTGGTACCAAACAAAAAAAAAAAAAACCCGTGAGCCACCGTCTCTTTATAACTGCCGAGAGTGAGACGACGCGGTTGACTTGCGCGTTGAGCCGTACACAACGCTGCTTATGCTCAGTCCCCCCACCCCACCCACAAATGATACAAGTTGATACACACTTGATGTATAATAGGTGCCTATTTTATCGTCGCGACGAACGTGCTGCTCCTCGGTTGCGCGCGGTTAAGCCGCGACCGTTCCTCCGTTGAGCGTTGTGTTGAGCGTTGCCGGGTGGGGTGGCACGCAACGGCCGCAGTGCCGGGTGGGTAATCGGCGCTTAACTCAACCCGCTCGATTGACGGCGGCGCGCTCGCTCATCAATCGGGTTGAGCGCGCGTGCCGCGTTGGCCGTTGAACGTCGACTGCGATAGATAATTAGCGTTGCGGACGTCACAAGGTCACGCGTCACGTGCACGGTGTAAGCGTTTTCGGTACTATTGTTTTTTTAATTTACGGTTTTTAGAATGTTTTTTATTCACTAGCCATCGCAGTAAGTAAATGATTTTACGATTATAACAACACAAATGTAAAGTCGGACGTAACGCACATAATGTTCGGGAAAATTAAACGTTCAAAAATCATCAGCTAAAACCACAGATGCATATGCGTATACCTGTGTCTAGAAAAAATTGTGTTGAACACGTCTTGGCGCCACGACAATATATCATAGTAATTTAACGGCGGGAAAATAAATAGGTACACACGATATTGACAAATATCAAATAGAGACAGCACGGCTGGGACGGAACACGCTGCGTTCGGGCGGGCAGCTCACATTGTTTCAAGTGACAAAATCACTTCTAAACAAACAAACGCTTCGATGCCAACCTGTACGTGCGGTTTATTATGACGTAGGTAATACATCTGTATGTCAGTATTGATAAAAGCATTTCAACGTCGGGCGCGAAACAGTTATTGAACTTTTTCAAAGTGTTCCAGTTTAACTGTTTCACACAACAACTTTTCCAGGTTAAACATTTTTAACATAAAACATCAACGAGAACTTTTTGATGAAGAAGTTCTGATATAGAAGTTAGTTACTACTAGAAAATATTTAAAATATAAAAGTTCTCACTTATAGTAATAAATTGGTATTCACATTTGCAAATATATCAAGAACCGCTGAACCCATTATTTACCTAGCATCTGCACCGACGAGCTTAAAAGAGTTAGCTTATTTTATTGTTAGAATTCGGTTAAATAAATGCATGCATTTACATTTAAGTGGATTAGTTCTGTAGAACTTTTACAATAAACAACTACTACAAAAAAGTCCTGGCCAAAAAGTTCTTGAAACAACTTTTGTCATAAATGTTATTACAACAAAGTTATCGAAAGAACTTTATGAGTAAAGGTCTAACAAAAAAGTTCTTGCATAAACTAATTAAAAAAAAGTTCCTAAAAAAATAGTAAAATAGATAAGTGCATAAAAAACATGGTGCTTATAGCGTAAATTAGTATGAATCAATTAAAAAAAAAAAATCTTAAAAATATGCACTATAATAAAAGTTGTTTCATTTGTCGAACCATTGTGAAAACAAATTCACACAGTAGGAATTCCTTTTTTAATTTAACAATATGAAAAAGGTTAAATGTTGAGTGTTGAACACAAAATGTTTTTCAAACAAAATTAATCCTTTTCACCAGAAGGGTTGGAAACTTTTTCGACCTTCATCTTTGAAAGTTCAATTGGATATCTCTTATGGTTAAAAATCAAATATTAGATAAAATCATAATATATAATATAAATATATTATTAATATAAGTACAACAATGCTTCGATAGAATTTAATTAATAACACATTATATATACCATTATTTGTTACTATATCGTCCCTATAAACGTTATACTAACGCAGACCTCGAGTAAAAAAAATTAACTCCGACCTAGAATTTGTTTTTAAAAAAAAAAAAAACAAAATGTAAAAGTTAATACGAACAATTTTTCAATATCAATTTGAAAATTAAAAGTTGTTCGAAAAAATGTAATTTTTTTTATATAAGATTAACACTACAATTTCGTAGTTTAAGGTGTAAAAACTACCTTGGCCTTTTTTTTTGTCTTAGTTTTTCTACATTAGTAGTCGCTGAGTAAACAATATTAGACACTGTCATGTGTTCTTCGCGTATACAGGTACTAGGTATTAACATTTTTATTAATTTTATAATTCTCTTTCATCTGTTTTTCAATTACACTTTAATTAAAAACTTATTGAAACACAGTAAAAAATAGCTTCTGGTGCACGCTGTGTAATGTTATAAGTTATTGTACTGTGCCACCAAAGGTTGGACTGCAACCACAGTAGTGTGACAGTTCAATAAACAAGACAGGTTATAATAAACGGCTCAAGACTACAAACGTCTGATATGCGTTGCACAATACTTTTAAAGGTGTTTTTTTTTTAAACAATTGAAATAATTTTCATAAATAATTACCTAGGTAACAGGTTGACTGCCATGTGAGGTGTATTGACCCTACCAGTAACAGCTTTTAAGAGTTAAATTGTTATTGAAATAAATTGAACATGTAAGGTTTGGAGACCCCACAAAGTATGATGGTAAAAGTATGTTGTAGGGTTATTAGATCCCACAAAGCAATTATTTTAAGTCTCATATTTCTCGATGTGGCAGTCAGCAAAAAAAAAAAAGATATATGGAAGGAAAAAGCAACGCAGCATTAGTGGATTTTTATTGTTATAATATATTTTTTTCTAGATTTTATACAGGTGTAGTGGTTGTCTGACAGGACTCGGGAGGCGGTTGTATGCTTGGCTTTTATTTTAAAAAAGTGAAGAAAAAAAATAGAATACCAGAAGCCTTGGCCTTGGCGCGTGGTTTTTATTTAATTTATGTAAAAAGTAAAAACGACGCTAATTTATAAAAAACATGATTGCTTTACTTTTTAATTAATTTTTTTTTTGTAATTATTATTTTTTAATAATTGTTTTTATTATTAAGTAAGTACCTTATACTTGCCCAAATACTATTCCAAGGCAATATTTACTATATCCCTTCTCAAGTGTAATATAGAAGGATTCTGCCGGGCCCTTTAGATATAGCGGGAGATTTGTTCGTCGGACCATTTATTCAAACTCTTAATCCTATCGAACCTAGCAAAGAAATCAGTGTCGGTGGGTTAGGAGTGCAAAGGTCATTATCATCGGTGCTGTCATATGCCTAAGAGCTAAGGGTATGTTTTGTGTATCTTCTACCTTGGGCTGTTCGATACTAATTTTTTGATTAGATGTACCTGGTTGTCCTGCGACTGGTCCCTGAGATTGTCAGCTGGTCCTGGAAAAAGAAGTTCAACTCAAAAACAAGACTATTTATGATATGCATATAGGTTTTTTTTTCTAATTGCAATACAAACATTATAGGCAATGTTGATTTTTTTTTTATGATTCCCTAGCCAAGATTCTTGATCGGTATTTATGTTAACTGTTATATTATGTTTCCTTTGATGATGTCTTCTTTAAACATTTTAATTGTATTAGTTTTAGTCGCATGTTTTGTTACCAATGTTAAAGTTTTATGTTAAATTCTGTACTGTTTGCCTGTAAGGACGTAATTATTTATTTGTTCTCTTCAAATAAATATTATTATTATTATTATTGTTATTATTATTATTCTAGAACCTATGTATAGTAGAGTACACCTGTTCACTGTTTATTTATTATGTCTATAACTGTGAGTGAATCAACAGATATTTGAAACTATTTTAAATATGTTGTTAATTACCATTATATGGGGGTAACTATGGCAGTGAGTTATTATAGACAGACGATCAGCCCTAATCGTATATACCCTTAGACTAAAAATAAATGTTCAAGCACATTTATGTCAATAGGTACATTGAATTTATTATTTCTACCACTTGCAGAACGTTTATATTGCTTAAATATTGTTGTATATTTTATAAACCGTTTATAATGCATGCACTTATTTACAATTAATAGCAGTTGCAATTTGAATTGGTACATATTTTTTCAAAAACGACACAATTCATTAAACTGAAATTTTACACATACCTACCATTAATTGTTTAACAGAACTATTCCAGAGACCAGAAATCAAACTCATTTTGCACTTTTACCTTTTTATAAATACATATTTTTTAGGATCTGTGATATGTATCCATAGGTTTTCTTTTTCAAGTCTACTTTTGACCATATTTATAAATAAAACATGTTTGACTTTTATTGTTTTTTGCAAGAAATAGCAAATTATTATACATAAGTAAGCAGGCAACCAACGGCTCATCTACAAGGATCGGAAGGTCATAGCCCACGCCTTCTATATTTAAAAAAAGTAAACATATAACAAAAATGTATTATTAATGTCGTTGTACAAATTTGTATATTTATATATATATATATTTTTTTTTAAAAATAAGTATAAAAAAAAAATCATAGACTATTGGTAAATACCATTAACCTACAGACTGTACAAGTACAAGTAAACATATTAACATAACAGAACAATGTTTTTAACTTATAAAATATAGGTACACTACAAGTTACAACATACTACTAGAACAACAAACAACTGTATTATTGCACAAACTTGGGATTTTTTTTTATAAACAAAATGATAATAAAAAAAAAAATGTATTTATTTCGGGTAAATAATACCAGAATTATCTTTTTTATAATATAATCAATTTTTTTAACAAACAAAAAATAAGTTTCAATACATAATGAAAGAAAAGGATTGCTTATACCTAAACCACACAATTTAATGTCAAGAAGAATATTATGATGAATTTTATGAAACGCTTTTGAAAAATCAGTATATATATATGTATAATGTACAATGATGTTGCTCATCAGTAATAATATTTCTTATATACTGGATGGATTTTACAGGTAGAAATTATAGGCAACATTATAATAATCATAACGTGGAGTAATAAATCATTATTATATACAAATTGGCCGGATGCCCACCTGAATAAATTAACAGTTTATATTTGAGGTCACAGTTCAACACCATTAAAAAGATTTTTATCTATTTTATTACCTACACACTATACTCGAGTACTTAATAGATCACATCTGTTCATAGTTCATGATTAGGTATTGGTTTTAATAACGTTTGCTGTGATACTTATTATTTGTGTTCACTGTGTCCTCACTACTCATGTTTGTCTTTCGACTAAAATATCTATAACATGTTTTATAGCTGTTATTAGATCTGTTAAGCATAAAACAAAGCTTGTTGAAATGTTCAATAAAACGGTTATAGAAATAAACGATGACCGGTTAAAATAGTTTATTATTTACCTACCTATAATAATTTAAACTTCCCGCCAAAAAGAGTGGGATTATTGAAAACACGTGGATATTTTACCATGATTATTATTTTCTCTTCCATGCCGTATCAAACCAAAACAAATTTGTCAAAAAAAAAAAAAAAAATGTTAATCTAAAATTCCACTTGTTTTTTGTTTGTTTTTAAGTTTTTGAAAAATTGAAATTTTAGTACTTGCACATTTCATTGGTGAAATATAATCTTTTTTTCTATCCAATCATTAAAATAGCTGTGTTTTTTTTTCATGTGTAACTAGTTTTCTTCAAATTGTAATTTTTCAGTAAACTACCATTAACTTATTTCATATTACATTTTTAATCCATTCTAAAGTGATCGCATATTTTTGTTTCGTTCAGATTGTATCTCGTTCTTAAGTTCTTAACATTGTCAGTTACATTATTCCTATTCAACGAATAATGTTGCTAGATAATAATGTGAGTAAACGGTCGCATCGAAGTAATAGCCCATTTTTACATTTCATCCAGTAAGTAATGTGCATAACTTATTCTGTAATAGAAACTACACAAGTTATTGACAAGTGTGCTTAACTTATGTTTTAGATTAAAAAATTATAAGTAGCGACTCAAATGCATAACAATGAGATATATTCCTGACAAATATATTACCTGAAGGTATTAAATTGTATTACCATCTGTACTCTGAAAATTCATTGTATTGTGATAACGTTAGGGCATCAATTATCTATCACTTGTTTGGGACTAAATGAATATTTGTTAAATTAAGATTTCCACTTATAACGATTTACAAATAAATTATATTTTGTTGTTTTCCCCAGACCTTATCTGTATGAACTGCAGTAAAGACGAATTTCTGAGAACCACCATGTACGATCCAGGTATTCGACAAGATCAAAATCCAGTAACTGGCCAGTTGTACGCTACTTTGGTTAAGAAAGATGACAAAGCGTCATCGGTGGATTTTCCATTTTACAACGTCAACATGGTTCAGAAGGTGCCGGTGACAGGCAATATAGCCGTGCTTGCCGCTGCATCTGCCAACGGAGTTACCCAACCCGACAAGGCGTCTTATCGTTTTGATGTCACTGCACCATTCAATTACAATTATGCTCTGGTAAATCAAATGTCTCTTTCGACCACCGGGTCAACGTTCAAATGCGATGTGTGTGGCGCTGGCTTTTCGCATGTGTCAATGTTTGAGCATCATAAAAAAACAGCACATCCACAAGAGACAACTCCATCGTTCGCATGTTCAACATGCGGTTCATGTTTCCCACAAGTGCGAGACATGAAAGTCCATCGATCAACAGTGCACAAACAGTGTTTTTCGTGCGGTGCCGATGTTACCTCTCAGACCCCTAAGGGTAAAAAGTCCAGATTTGTTAAATGTGTGAATTGCAGCGGTGGCGGAAATTGTTCGAATAATTACACTCCGCAAGAAACCAACGAAATAGAAACTAACGACGCCAACCTATCGCCTGAGCAAACGGCAATTATGAAAGGTTATTACCCGGTGAAGAAACGAGGAGTGGCCACCGTCACAAAGTGTTACAAATGTAATGGTTCTGGTATTATTTTCTTGGTAAACGGCAACCAAACCAATGTCAATATGAAAAACGATTCCGTTTCAAATCCAAATGCGTCCAACAAACCCTTTCATTGTAATATCTGCGGCGGAAGCTTTTCACGGTATTCATCGCTGTGGAGCCACAAACGCCTGCACACTGGCGACAAACCGTATAAATGTGAAATTTGCGGTCTATCGTTTGCCAAAGCCGCTTATTTGAAAAATCACGGCCGGGTCCATACCGGTGAAAAGCCGTTTAAATGCGGCGTATGTGGAATGCAGTTTTCGCAGTCTCCACATCTAAAGAACCACGAACGAATCCATAGCGGAGAGAGGCCTTACCAGTGCGAGGTATGCGACAAAACTTTTGCTCGACATTCTACTCTATGGAATCACCGACGAATACACACTGGGGAAAAGCCTTACAGGTGCGATATTTGTGGGTCGGCGTTCAACCAAGCAACACACTTAAAAAATCACGCCAAAGTTCATACCGGCGAAAAGCCACATCGTTGTGATATTTGTGGAGTTGGTTTCAGCGATAGGTTTGCATTGAAACGACACAGAAGCATACATGAAAAGTACGCCAGGCAACAGAGCGACGCAGCGGCCGCCCAAACGGTTACGCCTCCATCGCAAGAATTAGAACCTATTAGCGGACAAACGCAAATAGAAGAATGCATTTACAGTACCGACTATACTGTAGAAAAATATGACTCCGCAAACAACATTCCCACCGATATTGTTGAAGTCAAAGTCGACCAACAAAATCCACACGAACACGACGCGCAACAACAGCAAATCGACGATTGCATCTATAAGTAATGGTAAGTCTTCATTTCAGTTGTAACTCGTAAAAACCATGTTCATTAAAAAAATAAAATGTTGCTACCAAAAACTAGTAAAAGTATTATATTTCATTTTATAAATAATAATTACTCATTTATTTATTTTAGAAAACAAGCAAAACAAAAAATATAAAATAAATTTGAATGTTCTTCGATTAGTGGTAAGTCTTTACTTAACTATAAGGTTTCCATGACTCGAAAGTTTTTTTATGCTACGTATTTAAATAAAATAGCATATTACTTCTAAACTCAATAGAAAACTTTTTAAAAATCAAAATAATTTTTTTCTGGTTAAAACATTATTATGATGAATACATTTTTGTTATCCTCATAAGATCTACGCATCACTTTTACATTGTTACGTTGATAATGGATCAACGTATGTTGATAACAACACGACTTATTATTTTGTTTGTTAAATATTTCTTTTACTGTTATTTTAATTTTCTTTAAATAAAATATTTTACTTCAGTTAGGCATGTTTATTTCCCAAACGCTAATATCATTGATTGCTTTAAAATTATTATAATTCGCCGTCAATTAACGAAAACAATATATTTGTGCTTTAAGGAATTGTTGAAATCCAACATTTACGGTATAAATTTAGTAAATTATGTATATACAATTTTTAGGTTGTAATTTAAATGTCTAAATTAAAATTTTTGACGGAAAAAAAAAATCTATTCGATGCAAAATTTTTAATTTTTTTAGAATTTACAGTGCAAAACCTATTTTAATGTTTACTTAATAAATTGTCTCCTGTATTTTTTTTTTTTTAATCAAAATTTGTCAAGAATAACATATATTTTATTGTATTCGTTAAGTCGAATAACTTTATTATTATTATTTTTTTTTTACACAATAATATAAAAACGTGGAGTTAATTGTTGTTATTATGATTACAAAATATGTTGTCGTAAATATTACATTGATTTTACATCTACTTTGAGTGTAACATTTAATATTTTAAGTAACATATTATTATGTCCTCTAGAAGGCGTTGGAAATCGCTTAAACCTTAAGAAAAGGAAAGACTGTCTCAACATTTTTATTAAAATTTAAATTTGACTAATATTTTCCGCTTTATAGTTATATCTGTTTACCGAATAACCATGTATATAAAATAATTTAAAAATTTTTTTTAATTACAATTATTATTTTACGGATTTATATATAAAAAAAAAATTACATATAAATATATATATAAACATAATATTATGTAAGTTAATGTAAATAGATATTAATATGTTTTATATAAGTATGCATACAATTAATTATTGTACTTCTGATAGTTCATACGTTATTTAAGCTTTTTGTTAATTTAGATTTAAAAAAAAAATTTTCTAATTATTTTTATAAATAAGTATTAATAAAATATTATATTATATTGAATTGCTATAACTAATTGGTAGTTGTATTGTATTAACAAATTTGATTACTTTATATTTATTAGTTTTTGCCGAAACGAAAAGTTCAACTTTGCGACCTACAGGTAAACTTGGGCATAATTAAAAATAAAAATGTACAAACGTGTTATTAAATAATTTACACATATCATAGTTTAAAAGTACAAACTCAAATGATATTAGACATTTTTTTTTTGTAGGTACTAAAATTTGAATAATAATTCCAAGGTCGAGTGGAGAGATTTGATATAAAAGAAAAATCCTGAAGAAAAAATAGGAATATAAAAATACAATTTTTTTAAAAATGTAATAGTTACTTGCGTACGTATGTTTATTGTAAAAAAAAAAAAACTGATATGGACGAGAAATAATTGTACAAATATTTCAATTAGGTATTTGTTAATAAATCACATTATTCAAAACTAAGTGATGATTAAAATTAAATTTATAAAGAAGAAAATTATAACTTAAAACAACTATTATTACAAACGAAAATGTCTCGATATTTGTACAAAGGTTTTGGTCAATTTCATTGTTATTAAAACTATATACAAGTGTTTCGTATTTACAATATTACATTGTCACGAAATAATTCTATTTACGATACTAGACAAATCCAAATCGGTAGTGTCGCAATCAAAGTCCGATAATGTCAAACTGTCTTCTAGAACTTGTTGGTTTCTAATAAAATTGTCCATCGGACCTTTGACTTTTTTTGGAACTTTTGATTTTTTGTCTTTCGCGGTAATATCCATTGTCGACATCTTGTTTGTAAGATCACTAAGACTGTTTATCGTCGCTTTTTCTGCGACAACTAAAATAAATAAAAAAATGGGTTACAGGTATTAGTAAGAAAACGTTTAAACAATTGATTCTGTTTGTGAGCTCACCTTTTTTCTTATTCTTGGGCTTTTTTGCAGGCTTCGTATTCTTTTCTATATAGGCCGATACCTTGTCTGAATAACGTAAGCTAACGCATTCTCGTGGTTCGACCGTTGTCATATCATAGTCTTTCCACTTGATTTCGAAACAACTTATTCCTTTGGAAACGCGTGCTTTGATAATGTCGGCAATTTCGACACCGCACTTGTGGTCGTCATCGTATAGTAAATGCCATCGGGTAAGTAAAGGTAAAAATTTTTCAATCGCATAATCTTCTTCCCAACATAGTTTTGTCGCTGCAAATGTCTAAACAATTTTTTTTTTTTTAAAATTCCACTGGTTTTATATAAATCAACTTTTTGTATTAAAACTTACGACAAATGCGTTAATGTCGGGTAACATCCATTTTACGACAACTTTGGGACATTTTGGCGTGTTTAAAAATTCTTCTATGAGATCATTGGACGGAAAGTCTTGGTTCTTTATAGCTTTGTTTCTTATTTTAATTTCTAACTTTATGTCGTTTGTTTGAGATTTAATGTCTTTTTCTGCCGCATTTAACACTATATCGTTTCTCCAGTGTCTCAGGCTGCGTAAATATAAAAATAAAAACCTCTATATAACACAAATTGGCTAGTAATACAAAAAAAAATTAGGTAAGCAACGATTGTAGTCACCGTTCAAGTACTATAGAATCGTCCAACGGTTGAAGAAATTTAAAAGCCGTTTCTTTACCGACTCCATCAACGCCTTTTTCGTCGTAATCACAACCGCACAGTAACGACATGGCAATCATTTTGTTTCTGCCCATTTGTAATTTGTTTTCAATTGTTTCCATAGAATAAATATCAACAGAGCCGGAACCAGTCGAAATAAAATTCCTATACACAACACGGGCTCCGTAAAGGAAACAGTCGCTGTCCTGTGTTATAACTCCGTTTGCAATCTGAAATCACACTGAATAATTGAAATCACTCGATTAACAAACAATGAACAAATTATATTTTACTCCGTTTTCGTTGAGTACAGCACATAATTTTTCTGCTTCACCCGGACTGTAAACACTAGCGACTCCCAGAATTTTAAACAACAACTCGCACTATAAAAATGTACCAAATAATTCAATGTATTTATTCGGTGTTTAACAAATTTGTTAGTTAGTAAATTTGTTTTTATTTGTTATTTATGTATTTACATACTTACTTGTTTTTGTAGTGAATTAAGTCTTTTACGAACCATATTCTTTTTGGGTACGTTAGTATTATCATTCATGCGTTTGTTCATTATATTATACTTCAATTGTGGCGCTTCTCCATCGAAAACAAATATTGGAATAGCACCTACCAATAGTAAATTAGATGTGCGAAAGAAAAGGTTTCTAAAAAAAAAAATTAGTTTGTTTTAATAAAATATAATAGGTACTGATGTGGTAGTTTTAAAAGTGTTTTTTAATATTACCTCAAGTACATATTTTTTTGGCTATTGTTGTTTTGACTGCAATTTTCACTGTCACAAACCCAACCACTCAAGTCTATTGCTACTACTTTTCCTTGCAATTCCCAGAGCGGCGACTTCTCTGCTACTGGTGACAAAATAGACCAAAGGTTTTTGACACCCATTTTCCAATTACTATTAATTTAGTAAGAACATTTAGGACAACGTATATACGAATAATAGGTACTCAAATGATCGATAAATCATTAATGAAATCAATTAAAACAACTGTATTTATAAAAAGAGTAGAAAGTAAATTGTATATATAATGTAAAGTTTAAATTAAACGGTTTTTACTTTTGAAGTTGTCTGAAGTGATAAGAGATTGCTGATAACATAATGTTACCGATGGTGGTTCAAAGCCAAAGAAACCTCGGCTACCACTTACCAGTGATTACCTTCAAATAATATGGAGGTTGTTTAAGATAGATAAGACATTTTCCAGATAATAATAGTTATTAACATAAATATGTTTAAAATCCTTTAGTCGGTTTAAACGCCAAACGTTTAATAAAACTTTTAAAATAAATCAGCCAATTTAGTAGCGATGGTAAACTGCTAATTAATTATTAATATGGTGGTAATAATAGTTATACATCGTCTAATGCCTAACATTATTTGATTTACTACAAACTAAAAACAGCCTATTCATATTATAATAATATGTTACAGAAATAAACAAAAAAGTTTTCTCAGAATATTGTTAAAAAATTACTTTTGGCTGTAGTACACATTTTGTCAGTAACAGGAAAAATGTATTCCTTGTGATGCAAGTAGAGCCAGACAAATGAAAAACAAGTTTTTTTTAACAGGAACTTTATAGTGAAATGTGAATACAAAAAAATAACTTACACTCGGAATAGCAAGTATTAAAACAATACTTAAACTTATTTCTTATAATGTTTGTCTTATAATATACCAATTTTATTATTGGTGCAATAACCATTAAAAATTAAAATTTTAATTCTGCGAACTCGCAAACCTATGATTTTACCTATTTTGATAGGTACGATTAAAAAAAAAATATCCTTATGTTAATACCTAATGTTCCTGACTTTGTAATTTAACCCCTGACAGTGGTATCAACATGAAACCGACACAGTTCAAATTCTAATGAAGTCTACTTTAATAATTTACTGAGCAAATATATTTGTTTTTATTTTTCGACCTCAAATTTTTTTTAAAAACAACTTTTTTGAGTCAAAAAATAAAACGAAAAAAAAATATTTTGCTCATAAAAAAATTCAAGCTATTCAAGTTGGGGTATGTATCGCCTTTGAATCAATTAAGTTATTTAAATTTAGTTGCGCCTATCTATAATTTTGTATTTTGACACAGTTATGCTTAGCAATAAATTGGATATTTGCGTTAAGTTTGTATGTTTTCAATAAACGTAAATCAGGTAATTTGAACCCTTACAACTGACGTCAAAATAATTTCTTTACCACAAAATTGTTACCAGATGTTCCACTTACTTTTAAGTAAGTATCACATACATTTGGGAAATTTTCGTTCAGTCACACATCGACTCCTCCAACGAAAAAGGTTGTAATTCAGTTTTAAACTGACAACACTCGTTTTCTGTAATAGGAAGCTGCCATTTTGTAGATAATTATTGTTTTGTCCATGGTTTATCAAATATATGACCGAGTTATCATCACTTAACCTAACATTTTAATATGTATCATGGAAAAGTAACTTAACATTTTCACTTCCATGAAATTGGTACACAAAATGGCTGCCTCCCCGGACGGGACATTTTTTTTAATCTGAATACGCGTTATAAATGAACTCGGTGCCTATGTCCAAAAACAAAAACGTAAAATATTTTTGAACTTTGTTTTTTGTCAACAAGGACCTATAAAGAAGGTATGATAAAATGTTTATACATTTTTCGACTACAGTGGCGCACACATGTTGGATGATTTCACATTGTACGAGACCGGAGTCGCGGTTGTCATGCACACCAATCGAATGGTAAATTAATGATAAACAATTAATCATAATCGACGATGGCCAAACAATTTGTCGCGGCGATGTTGGTCGTCACTTGTTTCGCGTACGAAGAACCCGTGCAAAGTTCGTGGTGTGTGGAAAGACCTTGGTCACATGCCGAGGCAGTGAAACGTGACGTGCGCATAGCCGACGTGCCTTTGGGTTCGACGGTGACTTTGCAGTGTAGCTTTTGCGGTGAAATCGACAGAGGCGAGCCTAAACTGTGGTATCATTCGGACAGGTGATAACAACGGCACTGCCATGATATAGCTCGTTCAGTTTGTCTTGACACCTGGCGACCGTTACAGTTTAAATATTGAGATTGAGCCAGTGATGCCAGAACTCAGATATTTTCTTTTTTATTTTTGTCCGTGATTCATGGCTACACTGTTTATATTTTTTATAAAATGTCGTACACCGACAACAATGTCGTCATACCATACCTACCAGCACTGACCGTTTCTCGAAATTTCCAAGATGTCGGACATGATTTTATCTCGTCCCATAAAAGCCCATGTAATATTGTATAGTTTTTTTTCTGTGGATTCTATGGATGTGGGTACCAACTTGTCTATCCGACATAATCTGCTCTGTACATATGCTACAAGTTAATTCTTACTCTTTCAGTAAAACAAGTAACGTGCGAGCGGAGTTTCTCGAGAATAAAACATGTGAAATCATATTAATATCTTATCACAAGACAGTTGTTGCTGTCCGTTTTGGTGGCTCTTTTCAAATATTTCCCTATAACAAACCTGTCCATCCCTGATAGGGTGTCACGTTGAATTGCAGGACCACGGGTCGGCGCCGGAAAGAAGTCTGCACGGGTATGGCTGACCAATTGGAATCCAACAGAGTTTACATGACGCCCGACCATCGGTTGGTGATGCGCGACCTGACCACCGACGATGCCGGTCAGTACACCTGTTCGAGCCTAGGTGGTGGTGCCAAGGTGGAAGAGGTGAAATTCGCTTTGGACTTGATCCCGAACCGGGCCGTTTCCGCTGTCTCGGCAACCTCGCCATCCCAATGGTCCAAGTACGAGGCAGACTACTTGAAAGTGATTGGACGAAAAAACTCGACGGCGTTAAAAGGCGTCCGATTAGAGCCGGAGTGGATGCCGTGGGGACCCTGCGATGGCTGCGCAGGCAAGAGGTATAAGAGAGCAGCGTGCAGGGTGCGTTTCGAGAACGATTCCCGTATGGCTTGCAGGTATTACGCCAAGCCTTGGTCAATAATCGTGCTCAACCCGGGCATAATATTAGGAAAACCTGCACTGTTTTCAGGTCGGTCAGTCTGTCGCGGGTTTCGCCGGACTTGGCCGAGGCGTTGTCGTCGGTGCCGGACTTCTTACTGTCTGAAACGTGCTACGCTTATTGTCGGTTGAACAGACGCCGACCGCCCAAGTATCGGAACACGTTCTTGCTAGAGGAAGGCTCCAGTTTAACGCTGGTGTGCGCCGAAGCTACAGCCGACAAAAAGGTAAGACCCGAGTACAGTGTCTTTCACGAAAACCGGTGCTCGACTGTAGCGCGCCCAACGGTAAAATCTCGGTCAGAGGTTAAGCACGGGCTTTGTATCGAAGATGACGCAAAATTGAGGATTCAAAGTCAAGTTTTCGTGAAAGATACTACAGGGTGTCCCAAAAAGAATGGTGGGGTTTCAAACGGCTGTAGGTTGTGAAGTACTGGACCTACAGCGCTCTGGTAGGGCTTGGATGAAAGAGGGAGCTGTCAAGTTTTGAACGGCTGCCACTAGATATTTCAAAGTCGTAACTGAATTACACTTGGCGAACTCGATCACTTCTGTTGTGCGCACGCCATCTTAACAACCTGAACAATGAAGGCTGGCTACACAAACGGGAACGCGGAGAGACGTCTAGTGGCAATCATTCAAGCCTTAACAGAGCGCCGTAGGTCTAATACTTCACATCCTACAGCCGTTTGAAACCCGATCATTCTTGTTGAGACACCCTGTAAAATGATACCCACGCAGGCTATTACAATTATTAGTTTAATTAGGTGACTTGGAGAAAAGACGGATTGCTTTTGAGCGAATCGCCGGCCGACGCCGGTGACGTTACCGGTGTACAATTGGATTCGTTCGGTATCCTCTACCTGGTCAGACTTACAGTGGACAACTCTGGCAATTACACGTGTTACATAAACGGCAATCGGACGCAGGAAGTGCTGGTGGCGGTTCGGAAGCCGGACGTGTTCTCTTCGCCTGCGTACCTCAGACACATGTACTATTTGTACTATGTGTTCGCAATGTATTTTGTCCTTTTCAGTGCGCGCATCTTTTACGGGTTCCTCAACCGGCATACGTTTTTGAAAATTACCGAAAAACACATGGAAACACCAGAGATAACTTCCTCGTTTCTGGGCAAACAAATTCGCATCCGGTAAGCCGTGTGCACGCTGATCGCGAGCTGTTGATAACGATTCAGAAAATATCGCCTTGTCGATCACTCTCGGTGTTAGTTGGTCGCTCACCTAGAGCAACGGGAGAGTTAGGTTACGATATTGTATTAATGTACGACAATAATAAATAAAGTATTGTATAATTATGTATAACAATTAGATGTTTGCTGCTCTAATTAAATCTTATATATACTTATATATACATCGGATACAGAATAAGGTCTATGAAAAAATTTAACAAATCCGATACAAGTGATTAAGCTAAATAATTGATAAAATTAAAAATATATAATATTTTACTACTATAATAATAATAATAATAATAATAATATTTCTTTATTACGGAAATAAATTCCAGTTACAAAATAACTTTTTTTTTCATACAAAGATTTATATAAAGATTCATTATCAGTAATTTAAATGTAATAAAATAATAATAATAAGGTATCAATATCATACAATAAATCTAAATGTATAAAGGGAAAAACAAAATAAAATAAATAATAAAACAAATTCTAGTTATTCGTTATGTATTTCTTTATTCGTTAGGACATTTGCCATAAAAACATCAAGAGATTTACTAAAAAAATCAATATTATTTACAGAGTTACCTGCAGACATTAAAATATTGGTTGGAGAATTTTGCATATAATTTGTAGTTGAAAGTTTTGTGTAAAATAAATTAAGAGATCGGTAGTTTGTTAGATTTATTTTAAAATTTATATTTTGCAGTAGCTCAGGACAATCAATCATGTTATGATTTAATTTATATAAAAATTTCAATTTAATTAGTATGAATCGCTGTTTTAACGATTGAATATTAAAAAAGTTGATTGTAACATTATAATCAGAATGAGGAGCTCT